GTCAACGCGCGCTGGCAGTCAGGTGTTGATCGGGCTGTGGCGGCTTGCAAATGACTCTCACATCCAATAACGAGGCGCTCGTGGTTCACAAGTCAATTTCTTCTTCAAAGCCTAAATTGAAGTTCAAAAGACAGAAACTGATTTCGATGGCAGCTGTACTATCTTCGAGACGCACGGGTTTTGTCGACCGCAGACCCGAGAGAGGAAGGTTAACGGCAGGGAATCCAAAGGTTTGCCCAAGACAAACTTCTGCACAGACGTAACGTCCTGAAATGACCCACACTTGTCAGTACCGCCACTCAAGAAGTCCCAACAGCCAGAAACACATCGGCGAATTCGCCCAATTGAAGCGCATTGCCCTGAGCACTAGTGCCAGACTTTCGCACCGTGTCCTTCGCCCGTCTCTCCAAGGTGTCAATTCCATTTCTGGCTACTACGCCGGCGGTCATTGTTGCATTCTTGTAGTACAGTACAACCTCTTTGTGAGCACATGTGCCGACAGGCCTGCCGAGACTGTCGTGGGGCCTTTACGGGACGGCAACGCGGCAGCGCTCCCGCACACGGCTTCAAGCCAGAAAGAACGAATGCTCACGACCATCGACATCCGCATCTTCACCAGGCTTGACCAGATGATCTTCTTGAGGACCAATTACCCCAACAGGAAGGCTCCTAGTGGTACAGTATCTTCTGGTGTTCTGGGACTGCTGCTTTTCTACTGCTTTTCTGCTCTTCACTGCCACCCCAGTCGAGATAAAGTCCTCGTCTGGAGCCAGATCCATCCGGAGGTGGCCCTCTGTTATACCATCGGCCCTGGCTCAACGTCTTTCGGGCACAAACATCCCTCATCCCTGCTTGAGGCGCCAAGGCCCGGTCGAGCCGCTTTGACGCCGAGAACGAGGTCCTGCGTCCACGACACTCGAGGTCTAGCTCGGTTGTTCAAAGAACGAATGTTGGCAAATTCTGTAGGCTATTGAATGACCTAGTGGGCTTTGTACGCTTTCTTCTCAGCATGCCATCTCACGGTGATATTTCGGATTGCCATGTCGACTTGAGTGTTGTTGCATTCAGAGACGTTCAGTAGGCTAGCCTATTCCCCGAACTCTGTCGATACCTGTCACGTAACAGGGCTCAGAACCGCAACCCACGAATTGCCCACCACGTGCTGCAGTATAGCACTTGTATGTCACCTGCAAATCGTACATAGACCTTTTTCTTCTGTCTATCTCCACTTCGATAGATTAAGCCACTTTACTACACTCCGTAAGCCTATTGCTGCGTGTCATAACTCGCGACAATATCCGTTCTATAGTTTGCGTATTCCAGGTTCGCGACAGCATCTCCCTTATAGTCGCGGTCAAGCATCCTCGATGTTGCAAAATAACTCTTGCTTGATAGCAGAACTATATTCAGCAGTGGTTACGTTTGAGATTTTGAATGAGAAAAATAATTTCACAAGGTTTACAACAAGGCTCTCGCGTCAATCCTTGCAACAGTCGTACTTTCTTTGTGGTTCTTGATCCGATCCGAGGACATTTGCAATTTTCTGATAGCAGACTTCCTACCACACGTTACATCTGGGTCTGAAAGATTTCGCTTCAACAACAAACATTCTCTCTCGCTTGGATTTGACTTCCAGACCCATAGTGAAGCTACTGACTCCACACTCGTACACATACTGCAGAATTTCCTCTTGCGACATTGGAAACCAGGGCGCGAAAGAAAGTGTTTCAAGCCTCGTAGAGGTTGGCTCGAACTCATCCCACTGAATTAATGGCTCGAAGGCTGGTTGAAAAGGCCCGTCCGATGCAGAGAGCGGGGCAATGGAGGTGTCCGGTTTCCAAAGAGAAGCATAAAGCGTTTTGAACGGAAGCAAAGACCGAACTTTGTCGTCGATGGTTACTTCCTGGCTGCGAAATCCGTTTTGCAAAAGATAAGCAACAAGCTTGTCGCGGCCTAACAGAAGAGCAAGCTGAAAAGCTGACAGCAGCTCTGTACTTCGGAATATGCAGTCCCGTTGGGATTCAAAGACATCAGTACCGCAATGACCGAGGAAACAGTCGTACGGCAGTCTCCTTTGAAAATCCGCCCCCAAATGCTGAGCTCTTTGAAGTACACATAGTGAAACGGTGTCGTCTTCGCACTCGGAAATCGCCCAGGCAACACAACGAGGAACGGGCGATTGTAAGTCTCGCTGGTAAAGTAGTGGCGTACAGATATCCCGAAAAAGCTTGCTGCACAGCACTAGTAATCGGAGACTCTTATCATCGCAGTATGCCATTACCATGGCAAGGATCTCCGGCGGCAAGTAGATGGAGCTGGAGGGTCTCTGGGAGGGCGTAAGTTCACCAGGGATTGCTGGCATGGCGTGACTCTGGTCTCCGTGGCTCAATGCTAGTACGTGGCTTGAAGTGGTGAACGCTTGTTGTAATTATCTTGGGCTTGACTTAATCCAATCATGGCAGAAATCCTTTAGTCCAGTCATGGAAGAAATCCTGAATGCTCGAGAATTCTGATGGCCAATTGTATTGATCAAATAATCCTATGCAGTGGCTTCGTCCACAGCTGGGCACGAGTATTGAATATCACTACAGACGCACACTTAGATGCGTTTCCGGCTTCAAACCCCGATTTTTTTCTTGCGTGATTGCCGTCCCAATTGCGTGGAACCAAGCTTGCCCGGACGAGTAGAAAATGGCTTGGTGACCCATAGAGGAGTGGATTCCTAGAATCGACCCCAGCAATGGAAAAGTCACTTTCAGCAGCACGATCAAGACCATGGCTTCCTCTCCACTTTACCTGCCTGCGCGATCCACATCTCGTTCTAGCCAGGGAACAGTTCTGGTGATCGTCCATGCTATGGAGAACCCTAACAGCTACCTTTTGGAAGCTGGGCGCTGAACATAGATCTACCTCTTGTCTTTGTTCATTGAATGGAGACTGAACATAAAACCGCTCAACAAATAAGTTTGTCGGCCGGAAGCGAATCGCTTGTGCTGTCACTTTGAGCGACTGTACAATCGCTCTTGTCAAGCCGAGAGTAGCGGATTTCGGCGCTGTTCAGACGGACCTAGAAAAGTATCCAACGTACCAAGACATGTTGTTTTCAAAGAGTGCAAACCGAACACAGGACCATTGCAACTCAGTCCATCAGGGCGGCTGCAGACTTCTTGTCGAGTCATCAAAAGTTTTTTCCACCCGTGCATGTTGTCGTGCTCAGCACCAACAAACAGTACAGTGACATCTCAAAAGGTACGCAGACTCGCAGGTCAAATATTTCGGCACACAACAGCATTGATACATATTGAGTGTCTGGTACAGTATCTAGTCCGCGCTCTGACTACCTACAGTACACTACTACACGCACCGATTCAAATACGTTGTCATCCACACTTTAGTCGCACACGACGCTAGATCCGATGGACTCGACAAAGAAGGTCCAGGCGTCCGTGATAAACGCCGGATGCCGCTTCTCTCGTCCGGCATCTAGCCGACGAGTTCCCGTCATCATTGCAATGGTTTTGGTCATCTCCATCAGCACCTACTTCCTGCACAGCCTCAATGATGGCGTATTGCGTCGACCCAATGTGGACAATCTTGTACAGCAAATTCTTCATAGACTATCGATCTCAGGCGCCAACGAGCATCATTCATATTTTTGGTCTCTTTCACTGTCAGAGCACTCCATACCGCCCCATATCTGGCAGATCAGTTTACCGACAGCCAACGGCATAAATAATCCCGTGAGATGGACGACGATGGAGCACATCAGCACGTGGCTGGCCCTCAACGGAGGACATACGTAGTAAGTCGGCTTTATCTCGTTACAGCACGAGCTGAGACCCCATAGCGCTCTAGTCGACGGGAGAAGCAGCAACAGCTTTGTGAAGTCACACTACGGTGATACCTCCGACGTTTATCACACGTATGAGCACGTGATCAATGCTGGTATGGGATCCAGTCTGCTTCGATATCTCCTCCTGGAAGCTGGAGGCGGAATCTATACCGATCTAGACACTATCGCCCTGAAGCCCATTGTGACATGGGTTCCAGCCCACTTGCGGAGTCAGGTCCGCTTAGTTGTCGGCATCATATACGATCAGCAAGACCATGCGCCACAAAAAGACAAAACTTACCCGTTGCAGTTTGCCCATTCGACAATTGCTGCTGCACCTGGACATCCGGTCATCCACAACATGATATCCCAGGTGGTCACGTCCATGAGGCGCCCTACGGTCCAAGACGGAGTCGACGAGGCAAAAGACAGGCCTGGCAACCTCGATATCTCGTATATCACCGGTTCCGCAGTGTGGACCAAAGTTTTATTTGACTACTTGCAATCTGTCAACTCAGACTTGACGGACATTATGAGTTTCTCATATTTGGAAAGACCGACATTGTGTGGGGATGTGCTCATATTGCCCATCGACAGCTTTGGCATGGGTCAGAACCATTCGGGGAGCACCAATAATGGGCAGATTCCGGACAATGCACTTGCAAGCCGCTTGATACCCGGCTGGCCGATCCTCAAGTCTTGCGGTGTAATCGATCGTTGTCATTAAATGAGGAACTAGGAACATGACGTGCGTAATAGGAAACGGCTTAGACCAGCTCGGAAGAGCTCATACAGGCGGCCATATCTTTTAGATTCTGCGGCGACACAATACAATATTTCTGTCATCGTCAGATGCTTTGCGTGGCAATGCGCCTGTCTATACTAATGTGTCTCATCGTGACGATGGGCTTGATGCCATTGGATAGCAGTGTGAACATGTGATGTAGGTCAATGCTGAATGATCTCTCATCATCAGGTTCTGACATACTTGTTCCACACGGCCATTGTTCTGTCAGAGATAGAGGTGGGAAGAACTGCGCGGGCGCATTCAAGATGCGCACTCACTTCAAGAATCCGCAACATCGCCATGCTTGATATGTTTGTCGCACCACGGCTACTTTGGTGATAAGAACTGTCTAGCGACCCATGACATCAACATTGATTTTGTTCAAGAATTGAGAGGCTTCTTTCGCTCTGTTCTCAAGGTTTTACGCATGCAAAACTTCCGAAATTTACAGACCTTTTTGTCCTTCGATAACAAATCTCTCCTCAGGCCCGTCTGGCGTAGATAATCCTCCACATGTTGTCTCGAGGCTTGAACAATGTTCTTCAACGGCTCCCATGTAGAACCACGACCGTCACTCAGCATTTCCTTTGGATAGCCGACCCACTGAACCAGTACCATTGCTTCTCTCTTCCTCGTGAGACGGTGTCTGTGGACTTTGAAGACATGAAACAGTTTGCAGCCTAGTCGATCTTCTCGCCATTTTCCGTCCTGCTTTTTGAGATTGTTCCAGTACGTGAGCACCTTTCGTTCGTCAAGAACTTGCGCATGTCCTTCGCCGATTTCCCAAGGTTCATGACCAGGGGGAGTTTTGCACTGAAAGATCACTTCGCTGGACACGGGACAGAATCGATGACTGAGGATCGCAGCCCTGCTGAATTCTGCATTCACTGTGACCAGCGAGGAAAAGGTTTCACCTGCTTCACCGAGGGAAGAGGTGAGTGAGGAATCTATACATTGTGTCTCGGTTGTACTTACGAATGTCAGGGTTGGACATGATTGCTATAAAGGCTGTGTCAGGAGCGTTGAGAAATGGACTTGCGAAGGAGCATCGCTCACAATCTCTGGACTGGAAGGAACAGAGGGGAGGAGGACTCATTTATAGCAATCTCTTACCCCATGCGAGTCGAGCCTTTACTCTAAAACGCCTTCAGGCTTTACATCGGCACTAGTTGCCCGTTGGCGTTAGAACACGCGAGGTCCAGGTAACAATCCCTCAGGCTACGCGATCGCGAGTACGGAAGAGATCTCGTTTCCCAACCTCTAACTTTGCCCTGGCGAACCTCTCTCTCCTAAAACCAGAGGCCTTGCATTTCGATGATCGATGTAGTTGCTCTTCATGTCGTAAATCAGCTTGAATCCGTACAGTTTCTGCGTCGTGATTATAACTTCTTTGGACCACATTGTTTGAATCCATAGCTACCCGACATTTCACAAGCGGTAGCCTGGGACGGACGGTGGTCTGGACATGACTTAGTATAACTCAGCTATTCCGTGCCTTTGGATGATTGATGTATTCTCGAAATCGATGTCGCTGCCCCCATCGACTATGGAGGTATTAGAGGCAAGGGGTCACATGTTTCGATCTTCTTGACACAAGATACAGTACTCGTAGCTCAACCTGTAGTGAGATCTTTCTTCCTAGCTGTTGTATCGACAGTACTAGTAGCAGGCCTACTCAGATAGAATGGCAAAACGACATGATCGACCCCGGGCTTGATGGCGATTAGCACTCAAGTCGACAGCTGACAACATCTCGGACCATTAGTACTCACATTACAGAGCTTATCACAGTGATAGCTTGAGCAGTACTTAGTATACGCGCAACCGGGAGGCACAGATGACTGGGTACTGGTCCTTTCGCCCAGGGCTCCATCTGACAGTCCGCAGTGTGACGCGATGGAAACCGCCAGAGACATGCGGTGGAGGGTGCTTTCATGAGTGACATTTTCTTCTTAGCCGCGATCTGTTTGGCAAGCCTTCCGGGAAAGAGAGAACGCCCAGGCATCATTCTTCTAGATCAAGTCACTTCGCACGTTTGCTTGTGATACCGCAGAAGATCTGGTATGTCAGTACAGGAACAGCCGATTGGGCTCTGTATTGCCGGATGCATCTAGGGCGTTGCTGGACTGGTCTTCACGATCGTGTAAAGGCTGCGATCTGCCCTCAGAGTGTCTGTAACCTGTGCAGGCCACTCCATGTGCAAATGTCAGATTGGCGGCCTGGGTCCCGTCAACTCCAGCGATGCGGACGTAGACACAGTGACAGTGGATGTAGCTGAGCAATCGCCACTACCAGCCTCATCCGTGGCTGTCAATGGAGCGCGACGGGATAGGCTCCTCGCACTAGGACCACGCCGAGCAGTTTGCGCATTCAAAAGCAACCGCCTGGTACGCTCGAGCGGCCGTGGACTGCTGTCCGCGGCACGACGGCCTTGGCCGTGATAGCCACAGAGCCAACTTACAATCCACCGGAGCACAAATGTGCATGCATGACCCCTCTGCCGGCTGGGCCCACCTACCTCGAGATCAATAAAGTAACCTATCCCCCTGGCTCGCTCCCTTCAGGGACCTCCACGACAGAGCTTGGTACCTACGCGAGCGTTCTGCCAGGAAGCGCGGTACGTGCGGGTCCGCATGGTGCCACCGTACAAACCGCCCTGCAAGGTGCACCCAACTGCAGATGACAGGGGAGGTGTGTGCTCCGTAATCCACTTCCTGCTGTTGGTGCTTCAGGCGACGTACTCTCCATTGGGGCCTGAAAAGGCCTGCCCAGTACTACGGTCTAGGGGGATATTCGTTGCTGTGTAAGGTACACCCCTGAAGCTCTGGCCAGTTCTTGATCGGTGACGCGGTCCCACTGGATTGAGATGAACTGCAGGACGGGCAGGGAACGCCCGCTGCGCTCTCGGTCTCTGCAAGATGTCCGTGCCACGGGGTGACTATCATTGATGGCTACTTCCTAGCGCAAGGGAAGTCACAGAACCCGGCCAACATGGCTTTTCTCCTGTGTGCGCGGGTCATCTAGCCAGACGAGCGGCCGTGGACGGAAGCCTCCGCTGCTGTCTGTGCCATGGAGCCTCCACCACGGCTGTCGCTCTACACTCTCCACGTCCACAACCGGAGGCAGTAGATGGACAATTATGTACGGTACTTTGTGTGGTCACATCGCGAGGCTGTGCGAAGCTGGCCAAGGAGACACCGGGGTGTTGTTTGTCTCCTGCTATTCGCCTCCTTCGTGACCGCCCAGTGTCGCGTCGTCTGTTCTTGAGTCAGCCCATGAGGCGCTTTCACTTCGCCTCGACAAGGCGAGAATTCGCGTCACCTCTGCCTCAGTCAAGCCCGGGTATGGGATCAGGACTGCATAGCGATTTCTCCATCGCACTCCAGCAACTACTATAAAGAACACCAGACGTGCCCGTCCTCATCGTGCAGGAATTTCCTCTTGCCGTCATCTTCATTTACTCTCTTTGTCCCGGCCTGCAAATCACCTTGCTAGCTCTCATCGCAATGGGCTCCTGTTTCTCGAAGCCACAACCACGCCGTGGTCATGAACCGGACTTTGGCCATGTCCCAGTCGGGAATGCTTCGCACACCATAAGGGATGCGCATGGCGGCAGTCAAGCTCCTCTCTTTCCTCTGCCAGACGAGGCTTTGCCCGCATATCCGGTCGAAGAAAGATCGAAGGCTGATATCATCCGCCTCGTCCAAGAGGCCAACAAGGAGAACGCTTTCCGGCCGCTCCAGGAGAAAGTATACCAGGTGTACATGGACGAGAACCACAAGCAGGACGCTAAAGCCCGGCGTTGCATAAAGCTCGTTGGTGCATTTCTCAGGCTTCTGGCGGTAGCATACGGGTGCGAGATGAGCTTCTTCTTCACCAGCTACAGCAACAGCGACGGCGTCTACGTCTCGGAGGCAAAGTCCAAGATGGCCGAGGCGCTGAATCAGCTTTTCAAGACTTCATCCTGGGACGGAGCTGTAGCAATCGTCGAAGACTCACAGACTCTCCAAAATATGGGATTTCAGGAGTGGATGCGGAAACTCGTCATTGATGAGAAAAACAAGTCGGCCATGAAGCGTATGTCGGATGTCGAAATGCACAACCGGCTACTTAACCACGTTCGGGAGGAAAAGATCGGGTTTTGGCAAGGCTGGAGAGCTAAAGATCTGACACTCGAGAAGCTCGTCGCTGTCTACGACACGGCTGTCGAGGAAGCGCGGGCCCAGCCGAAACTCCGGAATAGCGTTCGCTTCACCATTGAGCGGTCCATCGCATTGCAGTCGCGGTTGTCTAACGACGAGGAGTCGCATCCTACCAACGTCATCTTGCTCACGGCATCCCCCTTGGAAATCAAGGAAGCAGAACTGATTAAAAAGCAATTGAAAGCCGTCAAAGGAGGAGGTTCCGAGTTTTCCATACAGGTAGTTCTTTTCGACGGCAATCTGTCAAAAGAGGTGGCGAAATATCATCGCCAGCTAGACGAGCAACAATCAGGCGACAGAGACATATACAGTACTATATCCTTCGACGAGGCTAAGCTGCTTGGCGAAGGCTTGAGCTCACTTGCACTGAGCACAATCTTGAACGGTCACTCCAGAGAAGTCGCTCGAAGGAAGCTCAGCGCGGACCAAAAGTACGGCATCCACGGGGGGGCCACATTCAAACTCCCAGCAGTGGCCGAACTACAAAAAGCTCTTGGACTTGAGACAAGTCGTTCCGAGGAACAAACTCCCGTATTTGGCGATGAACAGGCGCCCGTAGTCGACTTGAAAGAGGCTGGAGACGGAAAGGTCTAGGGTCAGCTCCTGTCTACCGTTGGTGGGGCCGTTGCGAGCACCAGATAGTATTTGGACCAGTACTGGCCGTGATCCTGGGCGTAGGTAGAAATTTATTCAGTGAGAGTGGATTGGTTTCTTTACTGGTTCGGTGCCTTTACGCAGGGCAGGAACCGCGGGAACGATCGAGCTTTGTGAGCAAATAGATATCTAGCCAGCAGTTTTGAGAAAGACCTTCCCATTAACATGAAGCTCATAATCGGATACTCGTATGTCGTGGACGCTCATCGCCGTTGTGATAATTTGGACCACCCAGCATTGCGCCACAATCCAAGAGACATTTGCCTTTAATTCAGCATGCATGAAGCACGGGCGGATAACTGTGACTGCGTGCACCCTCACCGCCAAGCTGGCATGTCTTACGCTTCGCCAGTGGCTCGCTTGCTTCCCTTCCCGCTTCTGCTCTTTGAGAAGAGGACCGGACGTCTTTAGTTGAGTTCGGATAGTTACATAGGCTGGACACGAGAGGGGTACAATAGATAGCAGCCAGGGCTTTGTCTAGATTGACTCGCTCCTCCCACAGAAGTTCAGTAAGGTCAACCGGGCCTACGTTGCAAAATCTCTAGCGGAATCAAATTGCCACAGGAATGAAGTAGTAGGCATACAGGGCTTTTTTCAGTCGGCGAATCGTGGGACTCGTCTTCGCACTCGGAAACCGACCAGGTAATAGAACGCGGGATAAAAGATTACAAGTCTTCCTTGTAGGGAATTGGCACATGCAGAAATCGAAATAGGTAGCTGCACAGAGCTGATATTCGGATCGCCTGCAGTCGCACCACTCTAACTCAGGCGGGAACTACATAGAGTGAGAGCTTTTCGTCAAGGAAGTAAGTTCGTTGACGATCCCAGACGTAACGTAACTCTAGCGTCTATGGCTCATTCCCAACGTGTGCCACGCGCACGTAACCGTTTGACACTATTGCCTGGTTCTCAGGTTATGTAATCCGAAGATTCTGATCATGTTTGATCGTTCTGATCTTGCGCATTTGGATAGCCGCGAATGAGGTACAGATGCCTTACAATACTCTAATGCGTGTTAGGATACGCTCCAGGTTTGAAAAGCGATAATTGTCTACTGTGTTACATATCAACTTCTAAAAATAAATTTTTAGCTTTGCATGGACGGAAAGAAAGTGGCTTTGTGACGCATGGAGGAGTCGGTCTGCCTGGAAAAATTGCTGGAAACAAGAAGGGCCAGTCCGACGATCAAGGTCAGGCATCCTCTTACAAACGCCTGCGCGATCTACATGCCGCTCCGGCCAGGAACCAGTTCTTGTGATCGTTTACGCTGCGCCCGAATGATACAAGTGACTTCTTTGCATTTGTTGATTATAGGCATAACACGAATTTGTTAACAGATGAGATCTTAGCCAAGGGCAAACCGCGTGGTATCCGGCGTGACGCAGCATCGCCTATTGCATGGTGGCGCTTCACAGTAACATGTCTATCACTATGCATTTCGTTTTGTGACATACGCTGGAACGGCCGAGTTGCACCTCCTCTCAACACGTGCCCAAGGAAACTTCATTATCCGTCACCTTCGATGACAGTGTGAAAATCGCACCCAAAGTCACTCTTCAGCGGATCACATAGATCGTCAGATAGTAAGGCCCACAAGGCTTTTTGTGCACTTAAAGCCTTAGCCTTTCAGAAGAGAGCGATGATCCTTTCTGAACTACCCCATTCCTGGTCTCATCGACCTGAGGATAGCAAAAGCGTCCTCTAAGACGTGTGCATAATTCCACTTTCTTTCCGGATCTTGAGCCCTGTGATGTTGCCATCACAGCAATGTCCAGGCCACACATACACCATCAAAATATCAGAGCGAAAGATGCATCAGCATTCACAACAAAAGAGCAAGCTCTGCCCCCAACATCGGGGTTCAACAGTGTCTCGCTAATTCGTGCGGCCTCCCCTGCTGCCGCAAGCAGTCAGCCGCACATGACCGGGATGTCATCAGAGAGTCTCACATTCCTGCCCGCTTGTCGTTGGCGGATGAATAAATCTCTTGCCTTTCTACATCATCCTCAAACTACCAGCTAAGTATTCCATATTCACCTTGTCTGCCCCTTTGTGGCCTCACGGCAATAGTCCTAGGCGATGGATGGTCCAAGTGTCCCGTCGTGCTACCAGTAGCCATGGATGACGTACAATATTCGGTGGCTTGTGACGTGAGCTATTGTCATACTAAGTAGTGAGCACCTAGGAAAGTTGAATCCTATATTCCAAGTCGGTGAGTATCCTCATCCCACTTCTGTTGATCGACGAGTCGTAGACCGTTCTGCGAGCCTAATGATCGAGTTGCTACACCGTCTGTAATGGCCCTCTACTAGAGCAACGGGCAGTGGAAGTGGTACGTTCGATACAGGGCACAAAGTTCACGAGTACCCAACTTGCTTTAGAGAGGCTGAAACAAGTCAAATCTAACGGCTATGCCGGTCTATGCCCTTAGCCCGAAAGCAATCTACCGGCTAGAAGAAGCAAAAGAAGAAATAGGTACCAAAGCAGGCAGTGATTCAATTTGATTGTGTGAGTATTCGGTGCGACTTCTCACAAATCACGATCACACGGATTACGGCTGATTTGGGCTGAGTCAAGCTGTAGATAAATCCCATATGATACCCCCTCTCTAATGGAGGTGAATGGTATACTTCAATGTCGGTTTGAGATACGTCGATGAAAGGCGGCACTTGATCGCTCGTTCGTTTCGGTTGCGACTTGACAAGGCCTTTGTGTTGTTAAATTTATACCGTTTACGCTCAGATTTCTGTCCGGGCAGCACATGAATCGAAGCACAGGGTATACTTTGAATGGATTCAGGAGAAAGACATGAGCAGAATCATTGATGTTCGACTCATATCTCATTCAACACATATGCTTTCTTCTCTTATGGCGAGTCACGTTGTCATTCCGAGTGAAACTCTTGCCACAGTGGTCGCAAATCCCACTGATGGTAGGAAATTCTATCGACTGCGCCCACATTCTGTGCGTCTTCCAGACATGTCTTCGTTTCTCTTTCTCATCCGTAAAGTATGATAGACACTCCACCTTCGGACACTTCCTGTGCCGCCAGACGTGTACGCTGAGAAGTGTGAGCGGGAGTTTGCTACCTCAATGAGAAGTCATAAACAATTCACTGTACTTACTCAAAGACGCTTCGGTCTTTAGCAGTGACGGAACAGCCCTTCCAGTGACAACGAAAGGTTTCGGTAGCACGCCTCGACGGGGCAGATGCCCTACTGGACGAAAACTGAGCGAGGCTAGCTTCTGTCAAGTTCGATACTGAGTTTGACAGTTGTGGCCCCCAGTCGAAAGTCCCCCCAAAGCAAGCCAGCTCTGCGCCTAATGAGTTTCCCATCACCGTTTGCTCCGCATACTCACTAAAGATATTCATCTGTTGGTGAAGCGGTGGCAACTCTCCAATGTCTCAAGACAGTTGGGAGGGCGAAAGGGTCTCGGAAGGGTGCGGAGGGGCAGGAGACGGATGGAGGGGCAATTCGCACGTCAAGTCATTTGCTGCAGAGTCGTATGCGAAGAAACCTGAGTGGTCCAAGATGTTCGAGTCCGATCGATCAGTCTCACCGGTATTGTCATTTTGCGGACCTTGCGAACATATGGTCAATGGCACAGTGACATCGCCCTCAAGAAGTGTGGGATCTGTCGCACCGATTCGAAAGCCTGTAGCTGGTGCCCAGGCCATGTTGTACCGTGTCCAATGCAAGCGGTGGGTGATGTTTCGCTTTGAAAACGTAACATATGGAGGTGGGCTTCGACGGGTTTTCAAGGAAGCCTGGAGCGCAACTAGCGACGTAACCCCGCTCTATGATCAAGCGTCGGCCCCGATCGTTGGATGCGATTTGGGCAGGCGGGGTCCACCGTTCTAGCCATCAAGTGGGAGAGTGGATCTGTGCTGCAATTATTTAGGCTTTCGCTGTTGCTCAACAATTCCTTTTACCATGCCCTTGTCCTTGCCACGTGACAATTGACGGGAACCTATCACGATGTATGTCGGAGCGTGGGCATGTCATGCGAGAGTCTGTTTCCCCGGCCAATAGAAGATGCCCGGCCTCCAGCAGCAAGCCCAAGCCAAATGCGGATCCTCTCAAGTGCGTTGAGGGGGAAATGAGAAGGTATAAATCATCATTTCACTCGAAATGGTCCCCCGACTCAACGTATTCGACAGCCCGGCCAATTCTCAGGACGATATAATATAATCAAGGCCAATAGAGTGAGTTGGCAGAGGCTCATTGCATGGCGGAGACAACCCTGACAAGCCTCACTGGCAAGGCTCACGAGCGATTCGTGACTGTTACGGCGCTACTATATCTGACTGACCCAGTACGTGGTGAGCCTACAACTTATAGTCTCGATCGGCATCCTCACGATGATTACTGGAAACATGAGCAGCACCAGAAGAAATTCCTCGACTCGTTTGCTTTGATATCTTCGACTTCAAGGATAGGGGGTGAAACTGCCTCTGCAGTATGTCTGGAGCTGGATCATCCAGGTGGGACAGTCCTGCGACTTGCCAGGAATCTGGGCGTTCCCAAGGAATTGCTCAATCAACTGCAGGATGTTCTCGTCGATCTCACAGCAGTTTCTCTGAGGGGTAATTCACGACGAAAACAGAGCAATCCGAACGAGACGCTGATCAACACGAACCCTAGATAAGAGACCGGACGAAGTGGAACTTGAGGTGTTGCGTAAGGTCGTCGTCCTTACTCAAGACAGGATTCGCGCACTCGTGGAGAAGATATGCCTTCCGGAGATCAGAGCTACCATCGAACGTGTCATCCAAGTAATGGATCAGTCATCCTCAGACAACGCCGAAGAGCTGGGTTTTAGGACATGGGTCCGTAACCTGCCGTTACTTGCGTCTCTCGATGCCGGAAGCCATTTTGCCCAGTTCATACCGCATGTCCAGTGGGCATCACGCGGTAGATGGATGTATTCTGAACACCTCGAAAGGCTCTTCGGGCTCGAAGACGGGATGTTACCCTCGTGGTTGAGATACGTTTACAAGCTAGGGCGATACTTTGCTGCAACCAAGGCGATGCTCAAATTGGCCGTGAAGCAACGAAGCATCTTCGTAGGGATACGCATCGAAGCAATCGAAGCTCCGAAGCCGGAGAATTTCTCGCTAGGTACACAGAGGGAACCTCTCTTGACAATGCTCAAGAGAATTGCCCCAAGCGACCCAGAAGCGTTAAGGGAGAAACTAGGTCAAACCTGGTTAACGACCGACCCCGAGACAAAATTACGACGAGCTTGCAAGCTGACACTCGTAGTGCACGCTGAAATGCAGCTGCTCAGCTTTTACGACCACCGTCCCCACCTTACACCTAGGCTGTTGTTCATGGGTACTAGCAAGAAGGCTTGCTATCTCTGCAACGAGTTCATGTCCCGCCATCCCCTCAACATTGCAGTCTCGGCAAGCCACCAGAAAATCTACCCAGCCTGGATGTCCCCTCCATGCCACGCTTCCGTCAGGAAGCAGCAGAAAGCTCGGCTCTGGGAGCTCAGCCGACACCTGGAACAGGCGGCTGTGCGTGACCTCGAGACGAGACTGGGGACCCGGCGACCAATGACGATGGACTCAACAGCGGGGCCGTCACTTACAACGACGGGAACGATCTCTTCGGGATTCTGGTCCCGCGATTCGAATTTGGGCGAGCTCGAGACAAATGAGGAGTCCGCATCCTTCATCACGCAAAGTATGAAGTCTACGTCAGTCCAAGAAGACGGGGTTGAGATGTAAGGTTATGGCATCCAGAACACCTAGTCGCTGGTCCTGCCTAAATGTCCTCGACAACCGAATTGTCGGCCAAGAGTAAAACAAGCTCTTCAATGATTCTTCTACTGGTTTCGAGCATTCAACCCATTTCATCAGCGCCGACTTCTTCTCGCCCCGAACGCGCATGCCAAATGAGCCCAGACCGGTATCCCGACGACACATACGAATGACGGTCGAATCGCATGTTGACTAGCTACTGCCAATCTCGGGACAGGCTGAGTGTGGTTTAAAGGGACTTGCCGAAACTGTCAACCGCAAGCGGTTCGACATCAGACTAAACACATCGACCTCACACTGTAGCATCCTCATCCTTATGGAACGGTGCAGCTGCCTTACCACGGCATGTGACAGCTTCTGGACGGGACAGTCTTAGATGGAGCCACGTTCCCGCCCTGTTGGAACATTGAGCCAAAGCTACAAGAGGTGGAGGGGAGTATTAGCGTGGCGCTGAGGGGCTTGAGCCAAAGCTAGAGAAATCTGGACACGAACGGGATATCCTTACTTTCGTTAAGGACCATCAATCATCGATCTTGCTATTGCCGCAGATTAGCGTATGAACACATCATATTTCGCTCACGGTTCGGCCGTATGCGACGCTGCTTGAGGGATTGTAAACTCGAGGGGAACTATGGTACCTATAGCGGCAGCTAGTCACATTTGAAGGATCTCGGACTTGAATACGGGCCAGTATGTGTTTTCAGCCCAGCGGGCGAGGTGCTGCATGGCAAGAAGCACAGTAATGATCCCGAGCTCGGTCGACGTCTTGCCGAGCTCGACGTCGCTGTAAAGAATAGACTTGCCATCTTGGATCGCGCTAGCAACGAAAGACCAGCTGTGGCCGCTGATAATGACGCCAGGCAGAAACTGGACTGCCCGCGGGTCGGTAGAGCCTTGCAGGAAACTCCGCCATTGTGACGAGTGCCATGATCCCATCTGCACCATCGCCTTCTCGAGGTCGGCGCCGGGACGCTTAGTCTCGAACGATACGACGATGGGGCTTTTGCACAAAATTCCGTGGTCCGTGTGATTGATGGTCACATCTGGTCGATTTTCCCGAACCTCATCAATCCGGCTGGCCTCAGCACTTCCTCCGGGAGGGCGGATGACCATGCAAAAGTCAACCATGTTCGACGCCGATTGCTTCGCCCGGTATGTTTTAACCACCTGGGCGCCAGTGCAGTATGTGTAGTCAACAAGGCCGCGGCGGCGGTTCGGTCGAAGCGCCCATTCCATCATTGGCAGGTGGAGCTCCGTGTTCCAGCTAGGTTCGCCGTGAAGGTTGATTTCGCAGTCTTCGGCCTGGTCTAGTAGCCATGCAACGAGATCTCGGGGTGGGCACCGGAAGCCGGGCGGTGCAGGAATGCCCTCGGGGAGATAAGCCTCTTTTGGTATTTCGAAGTCGGCAAACTGGCATTTGAGGAGCGAACTGTCAGTCTGTGGTCCAATCGGTAGAAGACAAGCGTCCATAGCAGAAGGGAATGGAGCAGGCGATGACGCCGTGTTCGCCGTGCTCGTCGGGCGTTTGGACAGTGGCCCGCCAGGCATCAATTGCAGTGCAAAGGCTCGCTGATCTCGTCATTGAAGCCTCACTTCAACGTGAACAGTGACGATAAGGGCAAATGGTGAAGGTTATGATGGACAACGGATAACCATCGGCGGATGTTCTGCGGGCGATGGATATCATGTCGTTGGCTGGGAGACAACCAGTAAGATGCGCCGTAGAAATCCGACTTGTGGGCCCTGCGCAAGCGCCGTGTCGGTCCTTTCCCGGCTGCCAATAGGCTCACGAGTATCTGTGCATGAAAGGGTTTCACGGATGGGGTTAAACAGCGGATGCTCCTGTGGAAGGGCCAAGGAAAGAAATTCAACCGAAACACTAGTAACCATTGCGTCGGCCTACGGAGTTAGAAGGCCCACTGGAGGCGGCAGCGAATGGCCGAGGCGCTTAGAAGACGCGCTCACCTCATGCAGGAGAGCCCATCGTGAATTGGGTTTAGCAAGTTTCCTGCCTTCTCGGCAGTGCGCTTGTAGCGCCCTATCAGTGGCCGTAGGTAGTTCTCGACGCTCAATCGGGCGGTTATGAAGGGACTTCGCCTGGGCGAAACCGATGTACCTAGTGGATACGTTGAGCGAAATGAACCTTGATGTAGGTGATCACTTTCGCTCGTGAGGCCTTGCCTATCCAGAGGGGGAGAGGGAGGCCTTCCTCCGTTGCAGGCAAGGCTACGCTAGCGCTGTGAGTGACATAACAACCCAACAGGCGTAGTCATCCGTGTAAAGTGCTCGCCAGCCCTCCTTGGTCCATGGGCTTTTCGACCCGGGTTATCGGCGCAACTCTCGGACGATAACGCCAATTCCTCGAGACCAGCGACGCAAAGACATTGGGCCGCCTGCGACCCTCCGCGCGTGCCTCGGAGCCCACGCCTGCCACAGCATTCCGCCTATTCCCTTGTAGCAGTCAAAATCTCGAGAGGCAATTACAATCGAAATCCCGGATCCATTCACCTCCATAGCAGGCTTTATAGGGCAGCAAACTTGTGTGACACATGGCCGAGTTGGCGATATTGAGCCCGCCACATGTGGTGTGGGCAGCGTGAATGCAATCGCCAGCGGCACTGTGATGACTAATTAGTGGCTGGCCGAAGGGGCTTTACGGTCGGTGTACGGTCCAGCGCCGACGGTGGATACTGACATGAAGATCCTTGAAATATGCTGCTATCCGCACTATCCTATTTCAAATGTTGTTCGCAAGCAGGCCGCCGCAGCCATCACTAGATGCTTGAAGAAGCTCATCACGGCAGCGGTACGTGCTAAAGAGGGAGTGGCATAGTTTGCAACGCGCGGACGCTTATCCGAGGGAGTTGTTTGCTGGAACAAACACCGCGGATGGCGCGAGCGGTTGTGATGTCACCGTATTCTGACCTCGCCGACAGCGGACAAGCAGAGACGCGAACCCGAAATGCATGATGTTCGATCAGGTTTCTGATCGCAAATTACTCCCTTACCCGTCCGAAAAACGGCACGGTTACGCATTTCGTCGGCGCAGCAAACCGAAGCGAACCACGCCGCGCGATGAGCACACGAACTCGATTTTTGTCCCTGCAACACCAATTCAAAAGCTCTCTGCGGTGTGTGCGACATGACAGAGGGGAAACGACAACAGACAATCAGGGCTTTCATGTCTCGAATCGTGACTGTAAATGCTGCATGTGGAGCGTGCCAGCCGCCTCCAACGGAAATGTGCATCTGCACCATCGTGATCACGGACGCAAACATGAGCGTGTTGTATACAGTAGTTAGACAAGCAAGCACAACGGCGTGGATGAGTGTGCCGGACTTACTAGTCAATTGGAGTATTTTCGGAAAAACCTAACCATCACTGTGATCCGTTAAAGCCAACATAGGGTAACATGATGCGTCTCGCATGTTCACGTGCTTGCTTGGCTTAGGAGACCATCATGACTGACCGAAGGAGTACGAAGGCCCCGGTGGATCCAACATTAAGCTCGGTATTGGGTAATTTACTGTGACGGGCAGGAAGATCCTAGCGCATTCGCAAGGCGGAGTGGCACATCCTCCCTTGTTCCCCATCTTGTTGCGGCTGTTGGTTAGCATCGGGGGTCGACTTGGCAATAGGTTCGGTGTTGGGGTAGCAATCGTGTTGGTTATAGAACCGGCCAATGTCGAACTGACAGAATATAACATATTAACCATGTAGCTTCCCGACTGCTGGCAGTGACAATGAATAGCAAGCGACCAGGCCGAAAGAGAAACAAAGAAGAGGGGAAAAGCATAAAAGCCCGTAGTTGCGCGCCACGGAAGCAACATGAAACTCATCAGAAGACATTCAGACAAACCCATTTCTCTGCCTCCTCTATCTGATGTCGACACCGATCCACTCGTTCCATGGTCGGAACCCACCACCGTTCCGCCCGCGAGTCTTTCTAAGACCCGGAGTTCCATCGATCAACCCCACATACCCGGGGCCGCAGGTAGGCCAATCTCTTCATCAACCCCATACTGTCATTTACTAGCCTGATGAAATAGCGATGCACCATGCGTCTTGACCCCAATTGCGAGGCTCGAACTGCGCTGCATTACATGCGGAACACGCAGCAGTACCTGTCGAACGCGCAAAACGAGCTGGTTTCCATACATCATGAGCGTTGCCGTGTAAACGAGGAACATCGGGATATTTTCCGTCTGCCCATTGTGCTTCCGGCTCACGATGTCAGCGGAGAGTGGCGAAGCAGATACTATCGTGCTCTGGGTCTGGTGACTCGAATGCAGCATCTTGAACAGCGCGAGCGTGTGTTGCGAGAGGGCTGCCAGAAGGCCCATCAAGCTTTGCTGATTCAGTTGGCCAGGTTCGGAGGAATCAAAGAAATCTCAGCTATTGCAACCGAATCGCATATGGGACCACAAGGGCAGCCACGAAAGCGCTGCAGAACAAGCGACGCGTAGACTTTCTAGCCATTGTTGGCACCTGCTGGTCGCGTAGGTGAAGGCCAGTCGGATTCGACGTGCGGAAGCTGAGGAAGGAACTTGCGCAAGAAACACATGGGGGGAAGGCGAGTGTTGAAAGTTCTTAGATACTGTGTGTCTTGCGTACCCAGGACGTTATTCCTGGTGTAAAATTGAACAGAAAAGTTGAGTCATGTACGGAGTACTGTGCCCAAAGCTGAATGCCCCCCTCCCCCCATTCTTTTGCTCCTTTCACGTCATACCTTGTTCTCGACGTTAGCTTTGTTAGACAATGGTGTCGGTCACATCCCCAACTGATGCGATGTTTGTATTGCGCGGGTCATTCGCGGAAGTCACTCGGTTAGAAGGGAAATTGGCCGTTGTCATAGACAAGCATGTAATGTAAAGGTACTATGTACTGTGTGCGGGTCACAGCAAATGCCTCGAGGCACATGAATACTCTGTCATGGCTCTTGTCGGCGATAGCGGTGGCATCCATAAATGACTGCTAAATGCTGAGTCTCCCACACCTCCAATTTAGCTTCTGGCGCAAACCCTTGCTTAACCCCTGCGCAAAGACAGATCATGCCACAATAATGACAATCATGCTCACACTTAAGTCGCTTCCTCGTTAGGGGAGCATATTGGATGTTTTCGGTGCTCCACATAGTGTCATCTCTTAGAAAGCGACGGGCACCCACCTCCACCTTGATGCCTCTCTGCCTACTCGCACTGTAACTCACTGTGATAGCTTCACAATTGGTCTAGACTAGGCAGCAACCGCCATGTTTGGAGTTTTTGGGAGCACAATGCATTTCTTGACCTCAGGAACGCTGATCCTAAGTGCAGAAAAGGAAGCAACATATGGTCGATCATGCTTGTGCACTCGTGGGGTAAGGCCCGGCTACACTGGATTCGATGCCTTCACGGCCGTTCTGGATGTCTTCGAGAACCGAAGGTAGGCTTTTCTCCTGAGAAGAACGCGCTCCGGCTAAGTCCGAATAGTGGTTGTTCCACGGCTGTCGGTGACTGAGGACCAGGCTCTTGACGCGGAAGATTGCTTGTGAGCAGTCTCTCGTCGTTGGCTATGGGATAAGATTCAGACACTCCACCTTTGCTGAAGGAACCTCCAGGAACACGTCTGGCTTTGTTATCACACCAAGCGTTCGGACCTTCGTCGGGTCGTGCTCCATTGCCTTCGTCATGTCAAATTGATCAGCGAGCAGATCGTTGGTGCGATGACAGCCAGAAGGATGCTGTTCGAGTTTCGCATGGAGCTTTCCACGAGCTCCAACAGTCAAATTGCCCTCGCTTGCTTGCGTCGCGGACGACGAGTGGAAGATGCCAGGCAGGTCGACCAAAGAGGACAAATGGCCGACCATGTACTGTAATTTGAGGCGCAGAGAGTCCCATCTGCTTTTTTTTGATTCGTTGATGATCTATTTGCCTTCGCATCCATGTCCGACACTTGCAGCGAGCGGGGTGGTCTGCTATTATCTGCGGATCGAATTGCCGCATGGATGGATGGATAGTCGCTAGAACGAAGAATATTTCGGCCACAAATCGAGTGCAAATGCCCTCATGAGCCAGGAAATGTACACGAGAGATGGATTCGGGCACAGATGGCTTCCTGGATGGCTGGGCTCCGACAACAATGCTTTGCGGAAAGTCATCGATTTTGCCAACGCTCAGGGAAGAGTCTGTCGAAACTAAACCTCGTCTCGGCGCGATTTGAATGTTAGGGAGCAGAGGGATTGATGATAGAGCCTAGTACGTTGAGTGTATGGCTACGATTGAAGGCTTGCAGGTTGAAATGAACGCCGTTACAGTTGTGGTGCTTTCCGCGATGTGTGCCAAACCTAACAAGCGGCTGCCATGGCAGCATAGCGACCACAGCAAAAGCCCCATAGCTTGTTCCCCTAATCACCCAGACTCGGCCCGATGCTTGCGGGCGGCAGCGAGTGCGCTCTCAACGTCTTCTTCCCGTTGCTTTTTGGCGAAAGGCTGCGGTAAGTGCCTTGTAGTTTTGCAACTTCCCACCATTTTCAAAAGCATTATCTACGCCTCCTGAATAAATGTTCCCACGGTTCATGATCAGCCTCGAGCTTTGCGGCTTGTAAATAGACCTCCCGTGATTCTCGCATCCACTTAGCAGCCCTCATCCAACTCTCATTCTCCTGCACATACACGCCGCTCAGTGGCAATTCTCTGCACTCTCATTCGATGGGCTGCCTTGCCGAAGTTCGTTTCACGTCCGCCGCGAGCTTTGATCTCTTCCATTATCTGTTTATACCACTTGTCGGAGCGATTGTGGGACCAATGAATACGCGGGTCGATTTTCATATACAATGGTCTGCAGGTTTTCTTCACAGCTTCAGCGGCGCCCATAGAGGCTGGGCCGGTGTCAATAAAGATTCCGTGGGGTGGTGGGAGTGCATCAGGTTGGCCGTAGATCATGGCATCGAATCTACGCTCATCAAAAGTACGACAAAGCTCAATCCGGCGATCTTCGCAGGTCAGCTTCTTGTAGATGGTGAGCTTATCCGGACATGCGCAATTGGACGTGTCGATATCATCTTGGTTGTTAGAGGGGCTGTGGCATCGCGGCGCCTCTGAACCCGTGTGACGACTGTGTCTGACGCATGGGGAAATGTCAGCCGCGTCAGGCAGACTAGGCTCATTAGATGAAGACCCCGTTTCCGTCTTGAGCCCGCGGATAATTGTTCGATTATCATGCCCTCCTAACCAACCAAGATCAGATACCGAGTCGCAGCACAACTTTGACCTGCCAGGTTCCTCTGGGCTGTCATTCGCAGCAGCAGAAGATCGCGAGGTGGCGGGGGCGGATTCGATGATCGTCGGAGGTAGCAACCCCGATGGGCCGTTCAACATGAGGCTGTCATTGCGCCCAGCCACTGCTGCACTAGATGGCGTGAAGCGACGTGTCGGGTGCGCGCTTCTGCTTTGCCAAAGACTCTCCTTGGAAGGTGAAGTCTCGACCGAATGGCAAGCTTCGGTTTGTGATGCCCGCCGTGGGCTTCGCCCTGAAGCAGCATCGAACGGTGAACTCTCGTGAACCCTGAATAGGGGGTTGGCTTGGCTTCCGCCATCCAATAAGGATGTCAAGTTGGGCGCGTTCGCCCTGCTTGACATCTTGTCTCGTGAGTACGATCTTCGAGCGAAAGGACAGAGCTTGGTTTAGAATGGTGACGAGTACCAGGAATGAAAACTGTGTATTCGGGTCAGGCAGGGAATTTATTGAATAGTCTTGAGGTGAATACAGGAGACAGACACCTACGGTGCGGGGCATGGAGTGTTCGGGCACGGTGCTAAGATGCTAGCGAAAGAACCAGCTTTACATTTTCCCTCCAAGGAGGTCTCCAAGGAGGTGTGTGCGGGCGTTGCTTTCGCCGACGTTAACTTACGTAGCCAAGCAAACATAGGCAGAACCAGGTCTGGTTTTCTGCACCAAGCTGTCGCAACATGCCTGTTGAGACGCGGCCTCTCATCACTATTGATGCAGCTCTCGCTTCATGGCCCACGTCCTAACCGTGTTCCATGAGGTGACTGGTCGCTGCGCTTGTGATGGCTTGACAACCGATATAGCTTCGGCACCACAATCATCGGCCAATCACGAAGAGGTGGGAACACATGAATGGATGGCGCGTAGTGGCGACGTCTGCGAACAGCCTCAGCGACTTAGCGATCAAGTAGAACGGTTGAGGAGTCACATGAGCGACAGAGCCGAGCGAAAGGAACACGAGCAGAGATTCCTTTCACAATATGTAGTAATAGTAAGTTAATAAAGAGGATCATGCAGTCTGGCGCTACTCTGATCAGGTGCCAAACGTCTTCCTCGATAACTTATTCGTTTTAGGACAAAAATAGGGGTTCTGTTTTTTTTCTAAGCTGGAGCGTCCCTGCTTCACACGTAAGGTCTCAGCGGACCGCACACCTCTCATTGAGCAGGCTGGGATACCTTCTGGGGTAGCTGTTGGCCAACTGAGTGACAGAGTCGACAAAAATATTGGAGCGGGGCGACAGAGGACTCGGAGATGACCTTTAGTCGTGCGGTTGAGACGATCCAGGTGGACTGGATGAGCCGTGTAGGTGCTGACAGTGTGGATGCATTAAAACTGTCTGCGTTAGACGCGATACCCATTTGAATTGGTTTCCCGACCTTGCCGTGGAGGCGTTTGCTTGTAGCGAACCGCGCTCCTCTCGCAGTGAGCTAGCTGTAGCCTGAAATGTGGTGTGCACTTTGGTGTGTGATTATTCCTGATTATGTTTGTATGCTTAAGCAGAGACCCTTCTAAAATACCTTCGATGATACTTAGCGCCCAAATCTTAGTTCGACTGAAGTGATTGCGATCTAGATTAAACTGTTCACCTCCGGAGGTCCGAAGCCAAATTTCAGAGAAGGGGTACGGGGTGAAGCCCCATGACCCTGGCTTTGCATCACCTTCGTGATTACGCGATCTGAAAGACCTTTGCTCCTCGTCGCCAAGGGCTGTCCTTCGTCAATCAACCCGGCGTCCGCCGGCCTTATAACTTGTTGTTGATAGACGATGGTCCATCGGCCCAGGTAACATTAGCGCAGCCAAAATGCTAGTCGTCTTGTTAAGGCCTTAAAGTTGGGCGATGGCCCAACGGTGGCCCTACCCAAAACAAATGCTGAGTCATTTTTGGTGACTAAGCTCGGAATGAAGGATGAGATGGGAGGGCAGTAGTGTAGACTAAACCAGAATGGGGTTAGCGGTACAGACAGAGAGTGGAGTCTCTGTGCTGGAGGGTCGGGTGGACCCCATGACCGACCAGGGTGAGATGTTCAGAGAACTATTAAAGGGCTGAAGGACCCATGCGAGAGCCAGACAATTGTGAGGCAGGTTGTTTTCTTCTTTTATTCTTTCTTTCGAACTGGTTCGATATTCTCATTAGAATGAGAGTGATTTCGGGACGACACAGAAATGAGGGTTCTGTTTTTTATCTGAGCAGCATTGTTTCTGCTCTACACAACAGGTCTTTGTAGACCGTACGTATTCCATCGGGCAGATGGACATGGCAGGCACTGCACACACGGAGTATGGCGGAGGAGGCGACGCGACACTGGACCTGGACAGTCTTTCTTGGGAGAACCTGGACTTCGACTTCAATGTGTCGAGTGACACATTCTTCAGCCCAAATCTGGGAGATTGGGAGACGGACGATGCTTGTGCATCGAGTGATGTCACGCGAGTGGAGGACGACAACGGAGTTGGTGGGCCTGAGCCCTTTTGCTGGGGTACGACCAGCAACAACCAAACTACCGATCAAGGCTTGGATGCCTTTGACGCACTATTCGGATTGGATTCTGAGGAAGGTGACTTCACTTTTGACTGGCTGGACCTACCGTCGAGAGACGCTGACGAGAGTCGTTCTTGTCTTGTTGGGACAAGCACACCGGAGAGTGTGGAGCCAGAGGCGAGCCCAGTGGCTTTTCTGTCTTGCACCGTTGTCGGTTGCAACCAAGTGTTCTCGGACGAGAAAGAGTGGGCGGAGCACACCCGAGGCAGGCGGTGTCTGCCGGAGAAGGTACGGAGTAAGTATGCCAGGGGCATGAGGTCAGAGCCTGCCGGTAAGGTAGCTCGCCTTTCTAGTTGTCCTTACCCGGGTTGTGGTAAGTCGTACAGTATAACGGCGGATTTGAAGAGACATCAAGTCCAGAAGCACGGAGGCGGGAGCGGAGGGCATCAGTGCGTGCAGTGCAAGCGGGAGTATCGCTGGCCGGGAGGCTTGAGGAGGCACCGGAGGGTGACGAAGGGGACGTGCAAGCCTTGGGAGAGACGGAAAGTGTAGCACATAAACACTAGGACAGTGTGGCCCGAGAGGGAGAAGACAAGCGGAGCGAAGCGGAGAGTGGGAACTGGCGTGTGTGAAACTAGCCTTATTTTGGTAGACTGGTTTATTTGATGTGAATTGATATGCTTATTACTTTGACAGGTTTTTTGTTAGCTTAAGCCCACATGATCTAAACTTCTTAAGAACGTTATCGCCCAAATGATTGTGATTGACAATGATTGAGCTTCACTGGATTGAAATGAACCGATCACCGCCGGAGGCCCAATGTGAGATGTGGAAAGGGGTACGGGGCGAAGCCCTGTGACTCCGGAGCGAAGCGCAGGTGTTCAATGTGTTCGTTGTGACGTTATTGTCAAAAAAGTGACAAAACTTCTTTTCCTTTAACGCTACGGTGGTAAACCACCTTCACGATAGCTTCGCTATGTCGCCCCACTGCGTTGCGCCCCAGCCCCCAGAATCCCACAGCGCTTCGCTTCGGTAGTAAACTACCTTTGCTTCACCTTGGCTCTACGCTGCTGCGCACCTTCGTTCCTCTATGCGGTCTGAAAGACCTTTGCTCCTCGTCGCCGAAGGCTGTCCGTCGTCAATCAACCCGCCGCAGGCGGTCTTATAATTTGTTGTTGATAGACGATGGCCCATGGGCCCAATAACATTTTGCCTGCAAAGATGCTCGTCTGAGTGTTAAGACACTCTGGAGCCCACTTGAAAAGCGATGGCCCAGATGGTCATTGGTAGAGATAAAGCACGGACTTTTCTGTTTGTAAACTGCGGGGCAGCAGAGCGACGGACAGCAGTGTGGATCCTGCTGCTTACTTCAGCAGGGATGGACCCGAGTGGGGGGGCATGAGGAGTCATACGGTTGCGGGCAACCAATGAACGAATGGGAGGGAGATGTTTGGAAAACTATTAAAAGGGCGAAGTCCCCTTTTCAAACGGACATGGTCCAATTTGGTGGGAAACAAATTCTTTCTCAAGCAGCAATGGCATACTATCGCAAAACCCAACGGAGTGGCGGTTACGCACGCAGAAGATACCGGAGGTTGACTGTTGGATACGGTCGGTGCAAGGATGGTGCTCAAGTGAGAAGCACCTCTTCGAAGAGGACAGTGTTCGATTCGCCGGGTGGCGCCTCGGTCTCTTTTTTTGCGTCTGGTGACCGGCAAGGCCAATACTACTGGGAAATTCCTGTTAGTGCCATGCTAGGTGGCTACATGGGAGGCCGACGGGTGTCGAAGCTTCACCTTACTGGCATCGCCGTGGAGGGCGACATTTACGCGAATGCGGACATTGAGGTGTTTGCCATGAACATCACCAAGCCGTTGGGTTCGCCCAGTCCAGTGACTGTGTCCCAGGAGGACATGAAGTACCAGTTGGGGTACGGCAGCGACACCTCTACTGTGTTAGGTCGTGTGGACGATCCTCGCGTGAGGGAGCTCGCGCTTGTTGCATTTAAGGCACTTAGTCGGGACGGAAGCCTTTTTGGTGCTCCTTTGCACAGCGACAAGTCGAGTCGCTCTATGGTCTGTGAGACCAGGATTGACGGAGGCAAGCCCAACCGTAGTAACGGGGGAAGGTCTGCGCTGGAAGTCTCTGTGCGCCCTGTGGGGGCATCTATGGCCTGTTCTGTGCAGAAGAAGACCATTCGTTGGTTCTGGCCCCTGAGTCAGCCTGTGAAGGTGGTTTCCACAGGGGAGAAAGGGGTTGTGCTGGACTACAACTCGGCGCTGTTTATGGGCGTGAGGCCCAAGACGGAGATGTCTGTGCCTAATTTGAAGAACGAGCAGGGCGCCAGTGGCGCATTAGCTGGGTGGATGCAGTCCTTCCGGGTGACCCTGACTTTCGGTCATCAGATGCTGTGAAGCTTTAGAGTAGTTTGAACGTACTAGTTAGAAATGGAATGAATTTGATTTGTATTTGATCTGAATTGCCCTGATTGTGATCCTTTGGTGGCTTCAGCCCAAATGATGTACTTTAGTCCTCGCGATAGTTAATGCCCAAATGATGCTTCTACTGTGATGATTAGGATTGACCTTTAACCGTTCACCTCCGGAGGACCGAAGGATAACTGTGAAAAAGGGGTATGGGGCGGAGCCCCATGACACCGCAGCGCAGCGGAGGTAGTTAATACTGTTCGGGACAGTGTAATTGACAATGAGTGTCAAAACACCATTCTCTTTTGTCATACGGTGGCAAGCCACCTTCTGAATAGCTTCGCTTGCGTTGCACTTCCGCTACGGCTTCACTCACGTTTCGCCTTGCTCTCGCTTCACTCGCGCTTCGCACCCCCCGATTCCCACATCGCTGCACTCGCGCTGCTCTCCGGTGATGAATCATTTACTTTTCGCTTCCGCTTCGCTCATTGTGCGGCCTGAATGGCCTTTTCTCCTCGTCGCCGAAGGCTGCCCGTCGTCAATCAACCCGCCGCAGGCGGTCTTATAATTTGTTGTTGATAGACGATGGCCCACGGGCCCATCTAACAGATTGCTAGCAAAATCTGTGTCTAGGGGTGTTAAGAGCACTTCTGGGCTGGGCCCAAGAATGCTTATCTCTAAGAAAAAGTCTTATCATTTTCCGAGGTAAAGCCGGGAGCGAGGGACGACGCGGAAGGGTGCTACACGCACTAACCGCTTGCGGCTTAGTGGTACAGACGCAGGGTGGGTCCTGTGTACTGGTGGGGTGGGGCCCCACACTGCACGAACAGGGTGAGACTACGGGAGGTATTTAGAGGCAGTGATGCCCCCGCGAGAGCAGCGAAAAGGACGGGTCCTTTTGCATTTCTCTTTTTTTTTTCTGTCGCTTTGCTTTGGTCGCTGGCGACACTGCAGCCGATATACGAGAGTGATCGCTACTAACGGTCACGGAGTGACGACGGTTAATGGATTCAACCACTAGTGACAGTGATGGAATCACTCTGTTGCACGAAGGGCAACGTACACCAGGTGGTGCTGGGGAGCACAGAGCGAGGGATCGCGCATCAGTCGAGATGATCGAGACAGACACTCCTGGACCGCTAGAGGGGAAAGAGATTGTGAGGCCGGAGGGTGTCCGGCTGCCGGTGACGGTTGCTTCTTGTCGACAAGCCCACTGGTTGGGTTGTCATTCGCTGCTGTGCTTTGAGCACGCATCAATGAAGATTGGTTCTTCGTGGTATCCAACGAGGAGGTTGAAGTTGGACGTGACAGCAGAGGATCTGCTTTCCTTTGTTCAATGGAGAGAACAGGAGCAGGGCGACCTCCTTGGCCCCGACTGGAAGGTAAGGTGGCTACTACACTCGGCGAGTGTGATGCTGGCCGGGTGGCCACGATTGGAAGACCAACTGATTGTCGAGTGGGACGAGAGCGGTGAGCCTCGCGAACGCTGGATGCGCTGCTGGCAGCGGGTTGTGTGTCAACCCAGTCAGACAGAGCTTGTTTCTGTCTTGCTCTTGGCCGTGAGGCTGAAGGCGGTCGGGCAGACCACCGACAAAGAACAGGTTTGGAGACTGTTCGGGGACGATTTAGTGATCGATGATTAGTCAGGCTGTGGGAAGCAGCCAGTAGACCGAGAGTGTGAACGAGATAGAATGGAATGATTTATGTGAATAACCTCACTTTAACCCTCGGAGGGTTAGGCTGAAATGAAATACCCCAAGTAGAGCTTCACTTAGTGACAATTAATGGTTAACCTCCGGAGGACCCGAGGTGAGATCCGAAAAAGGGGTACGGGGTGGAACCCCGTGACACCGCAGCGCAGCGGAGGTAGTTCAGAGTATTAGGGAACACTGAATAAATTTTTAATTTTTACTTGATTGTGATTGACAATGCTCGTTCGTGAAAACTTCTTTTGAAATGCTTCGCTTCCGCTGCACTCCCGCTACGGCTTCACTTGCGTTCCGCCTTGCTCCGTTCCACTCGCGCTACGCAGCCCCCCGGACCCCCACAATCGCTTCACGATGGCTTCACTTGCGCTTGCACTCCGCCTTACGGCTCTGTTACGCTTAGCGTTCCGCACCCCCGCATCCCCACAGCGCTCTGCTTCCGCTCCGCATCCGGTGGTGAACCACCTTCTTCTCTGCTCCGCGCTCCGCTTGACACTTTGGTGGCTTCACCACCTTCGTGATGCCTTCACTTCCGTTTTACTGCGGTGCCTCCGTCACCTGCGCTGCACTTTGCGCTTCGATATGCCTCCTCTCCCCCCATCATCGCTGCGCGATCAATTGAACTGCGTTCTCTTGTAGCTTCGCTTCCGCTTGCACTCCGGTGGTAAACCACCTCTGTTTCGCTCGCGCTGCGCTATTATGCGGTCTGAAAGACCTTTTCTCCTCGTCGCCATAGGCATCCCGTCGTCAATCAACCCGCCGCAGGCGGTCTTATAATTTTTTGTTGATAGACGATGGCCCACGGGCCCATCTAACAAATCGCCTGCAATTTGTGGTCTAGGGGTGTTAAGACACGTTTTGGCTCGGGCCCAAGCTCAAAAACTGTCCGTGCGTAAGCAAATGCTTAGTCATTTGCCCTGGTAAACCTCGGATTGACGGAGTCACGGGAGAGGTGTCGCACCTAACCGTATCCGGTTAGTAGTGTCTGTACGAAGAGTGGGGTCTTCGCTACAGGGGTGCAGGCACCCCCTGAACGCTGTGGAACAAGACTGAATGACTGAGAAGGAGATTGTTCAGAGAACTTATTTAAAAGCAGCAATGCCCGCGCCGGCTGGCCCAAATGAGGGGACGCTTTTGCACTCCCTTTCATTATATTCTTCATATTTGTCGAGAGACGAACATTCCAGACGACGGGTGGCCGGAGTGTACAACTTCAAACAGGGTTTGAAATCATCTATTGTGCTGACACATTTATTGGCAATGGTGTTGCCAGACTTGCAGGACTTTGGCCAGGGCCAAGTCATACTCGGAGAGGAAACAGCGGCAGGGACGCCGGTGTCGAGAGACGGTGATTTGGGAGAAATCACTCTTAATCCCGCGAGGGATGAGCACTACTGTGCTATTCGGGTTCCCAAGTGGGACCGAGCCACGAGTGATGGCTTGCTTGTGCACTACCTGAAGGCTTTGGGCCGGCGCTACACTTGGAAGGTGCTCAGTGATGAGGACGGGTTCTGGGCGATCTACGCAATTGTTTGCAGCGTGAGCGCAATCATGCGGGAGGACACCAAAGAGTTCCCGACGTACATGCAGTTTCTCTTTCCACGGTGTTTGGAAGCACCTTTGACATTTTGGACAAGGGCGAAGTATGAGCTTTTTGATGTGTCTGGGGAGCAGACGTTGGAGCACAATGCGATCGAGCTGGCCAGCATGGAAGCGGAGCTGAAAGACTTTTGGAGGCGGGGAGCCGATGAGGAGGACACGACGGTCTCGTTGACGGATGAAGAGACTGCCAGTGATGGCACTGTTGAGGACAACCCTGCTTCTGGTGAAGCTTGTCAGTCCTGTTTGTTTCTTGACCTGGAAGGCAACACAGGATGTGCTCTTGACGGCGTCCAAGCGGATGAAGAGATGGGGGTCTTCCTGAGCCAGTTTGGGGATGGCGATGGCGATGGCGGTGGTTATGGAGACCCTTCCATCCTGGGTCGGACGGACAACCTTCGGGTGAAGGAACTGACGTATGCTGCGTTTAGCGCACTGGCTCAGGATGGCAGCCTTTTTGGTGCTCTCCTGCACAGCGACAAGTCTAGTCATGCTATGGTTTGTGAGGGCAGGGGTAGTGGGGTGAAGCCTATCTGTCACAAGAGTGGCAGGGCTACGCTGCTGCCTTCTATGCGATCCGTTGACTCGTCTGCGGCATCTCATGTCCGGAAGATGTCGGCCAGGTGGTACTGGCCTGTGAACCAGTCGGTCAGCTTGTCGGCCGTGAAGGAGAAGACTGGTGTTGTGTTAGACTACAACTCTGTCTTGTTTATGGGCGTGCGCCCGCATACGGAAATTGGCCTTCCTGGTGTTAAGGGCGAGGGGAGCGGCATCACTAGAGCGTTCGGATACCTGAAAAGTTTCCGTGTTACTTTATACTTGCGGCGGAGGATGACATGAAGCGTCAGATTAGTTTGCACGTAGTTTAGAAATGGAGTGGTTTGGCCTTGCCAATGAGTTATTTGTCTGAAGTGTGAACTTGCTTGACTGTGATCTTGATATGGTATGGGGTGTCGCCTTCATCTAATCAGCGGCGTGGGCTTTATGCAGTCACATGTGCTGGTAGGGATAACGCTGCATCGCCTGCTTGACACCCTCGACGAAGGGAGCAATGCTTAAGTTCCACGCTACCGCAGCCGGCGCCACAGGGATTCGATGAAAGGCTGCCTCGGCATCAGCAGCATAGTCTCAAGGAAAAAGGAGGCCATGGACGACATATGAAGACGCTCGAGACTCGCTCACGCTGTTCTTCGAGGAGCCGAGCGCAGCTGCTACTCTTCATCGCAATGTCTGCTGGCGATATACGTTATAGCTTGGTTGACTCGGCAGAGTCGATGTCCAATCTACTCACGTCGATACATAATCTTCCGATCGGTCTGCCGTCGCTCTTTGTAGACCTGGAAGGTGTGAGTCTCTCTCGTAATGGCTCCATTTCACTGATTACCATCTTTGTTCTGCCTCGAAGTCACGTCTACCTCGTCGACATTCACACTATGCAGTCTACAGCATTCTCGACCGTGGTCGGAGGAACAACCCTCAAACAGATTCTTGAGTCTCCGGACATCACCAAAGTCTTTTTTGATGTCCGCAATGATTCCGACGCCCTGTTTCATCACTACCAAGTGAATCTCAGCGGCATCGAAGACGTGCAGCTGATGGAGAACGCAGCTCGTCCGCGCGGACAACGGCGATATCTGAATGGATTAGATAAGTGTATCGGACTGTATGCACCTCTGTCGCCGGAGGAGAAGGCTCACTGGAAAGCCGCCAAAGGAGCCGGGCTCAATTTGTTCCATCTTAGCAGAGGTGGATCCTACGAAGTTTTCAACTCGCGACCGATGTCTGCACCCATCAAGATTTGATGCATCAACGACGTGCGATATCTGCCCCACTTGAGGGAGACATTGTGGCGGCGGCTTGACGGAGTGTGGCGGCAGAGAGTGGTGGAGGAGACAAAGACACGTATCTTGGAATCACAGAGCCCATCTTACGAGCCGCAGTCTCAGACTAAAAAGTTTGGACCATGGGGCCAAGCTTGAGTCTATCAGGAACTAATATACTTCTTTCGACGATTGCTGTCGGATTTGTCGTCGTTCCCGAACAAGCTATGGAACGGGCCGCGGCCGCTACCTGTCGTTAGTTCCCGTAACCCCTCTTTTGTGGGACGGGACTACTCTTTCTAACGGGGCTGCGAACAAGGGCTGCGCTCTGCGCCCCGCCGCCGCGTGATGGGCGTGATGGCAACGTGCTCCGTCCTTCAGTCCTACCTCTGCCCGAGGAGGCATTCGCCTTGAAACCACCTCGATTGGCGGCTCTTATGAAGCGCTCGAAGCAGGAAACCTCAGCAGACGTTGGCCACGCAACTGAGCAAAGATGATTGGTGTCCCAGAGAAACGCGCGTAGAATGTGGATCATGACAACAATCGTCGGGCTTGTAGTGGAATGCACAAGCAGCGCGTTCAGAAGAGAGATACCTACTTGCTCGGTGCCCATCGCGTCTACTCCGCCGGTTACGGATGAATATGCCAGAAATAAACGACGAGTAATGCCTCTGCCAGCAACGAATGGGGATGAAATGCTCAGCATTTGCCCTGGGCAAGATGCCTTCAGCATTCTTCTGCGCCACTGAAAGCAAGCAGGCAGAGCGAGATGCTTCGTCAGCGATGGTTGTGAGTTTAGACAGGGCCAGCCTCCCAGCTGCGTGCACACGCAGCGCGTATCGCGCTGATGCTCCGACACCCACTCCGATTTGCTTGTGACTGAATTCACAACCTAACGTAATGATTAGATTTGGCTGGCTATTTTGCGATGCAGGACCTGGGCGCTGTTCGAAGACCCAGTCCTAGTTCTCGTACACATGAGATGCCAGTTGGGCATGTGATCAGCGAAGATGTTTCTGGCTCTGAACCGGCTTCTTAGATATGTTGACGGCCTCATGCAAGTTACCGCAGTGGAAATACTTAGAAGCAGCCATCATGGGCTCTTCGAGAAATTTCTGGTCCAAGAACATGTATGTATGTATGAAGGTAGTAGGTTCTGGCTTCGAGAGTGTGTCCTGCAGGGGGTTTAGACGCCCCCAACGAGACATTCGAAATGGGGGGCGGGAATGGAACCGCGAAGGGTTCAAAACTGTGAACTTGCTGTATCTCAAGAACTGGCGTCCACTAAGCAAGTCAGCTGTATGGATCATCCGGACCATTCCGGCGGAGACCGGGGCCGTTATCGACTAATTGTTTCATCGGACTGATCGATCTACAATAGCCACTTATTTCAAGGAGGGCGGCGGCGGTTGCGCCGTCCGCAGGGATAACAAAGGGAAGAATAAACCAACTGATACATATGTCCGTGAAATACGCAAACGGTCCAAACTCCTCAAACAAATCCTTTCTCTTGCGGCCTGAACTGGCGCCGCACATCATCCGTGAGAGAGCGTTGCTCACTCATTCCCGTCCACCGTTTCCATATGTACTGTGGCATTGCACTTTCCGACGGAGCCACTTGCGGAATATCCCAGCTACAGTATCAGTATCACAGTCAATCTCCTAATCCCATGATCGTTCCAGCTTCATTTGGTGGAGATGTCGCCACGCTGGTGAGATGCATCCTGGTTAATCGAGTGTCACACCTTCACCTCGCCGCTATCCTACATGCCAGTGCAGTCTTGTTGGTTGGCCTGCATATACGCGCCAGTAAATCAAGTCCACCGCCAGACTACTGTATTCTGCATACTGCATTCTCGCCGCGTATCATATCCATTCTGATTTGATTACCCCGCGCCGGTCTTGCAATGCTTAAATAAGCCGTCCCCTCACTGTGGGCGAAAGCCTTCACTGAGACGCCCAGCTTCAGGCGTCATCATTTGCGCAATCGCTCGAAAGACGAAATCGGACTCTTGCCCCAAAGTATATCGTCTTCCTACCTCAAGATGGCGGAGAGGAGCTCTTTCAATCGCAGTGCCGGAAAGAAGACTTCTTTTACGTTCCCGCTGCTTCACCCAAAAGTCGCCAACGCCGTCGTCGACCATATCACCGTCGTCTGGGTCAGCAAAAAGACCACACGAGAGCCAAACAACACTTACTCCACCTCGGTAAAGGGAAAGTTCACTTGCGACAATGGCGCTTGTTCCAACAAAACTTGGACAAGCGGAAAAGTGACTTTGGCGATTCAGGGATACCCAGGCGGCGGCTATAACGCAGTCGTATACAATCAGCGATGCAAAGTGTGCAATCGACTGGGGATTTTCTCCCTGGCTGAGGACACATACGTCGATCGAATTGCATATCGGTTGAAGAAATGGGCGGGCGTGGCGATGGAGCGGCGTGTGTACGAAAAGAGGGGTACCCCTCCCCACAAGAAAGGGCTTTGTGAGGGCTGCAAGAAAGGCTGTTGTAGAGAAGGCTTTGCTGATTTCAATTTGTACTGAGTTGAGACATTCCAAAGGTGATTCCGGACTGGGGAGGTCTCCAAGTAGAGGGCGTTGCAGCTTAGCCTTGTAATACTGACGGCGTATCCAAGCTCAGCTTTGCGATGTAGTCAACTACAATAGAGGGGCGTGGCAATCTTTCAACTCCTCTCATCTACAGATACATCAAAGCTTGCGTTTGGGCTTGACGGATCGCGGTGGAAGCTTATCGGAACTGCGGGAGATGTGATACGCTTGCAGAAGGTGAACGATAAGTCCAACCCCAGCGTCAACAGCGGATGAACGACGCCGAGTGCAGACAACGGCAGCACGACGTCTTCGTACGCAATGACTGGCAATACGTTATTCTGAAAGGTGGCACAACTCGAGACTCTCCACTGTGCTCTGGCGACACGATCGGCCTCTGTCGCCTTGTGGCGTGTCTCTTCCCTCGAGTGCTGAGGGGACGCGTCGCTGTGATTGGGACCTCGTAATCTAGAACGCGTCGCGACCGCGTGTTATGCCGCCACCTCGACTGAACGAGGCCGGGATGGCGACACAAATCGCTTGCCACAAGCCCTCGCAACGGTGCTCCAACGCCGGTCATGAGCTGGCACACTTGGACGCACCGTCAGGATGGCGTTGGAGCACCTGGTCACTGCAGCCGGAGCATACCCTGAACGACGCCCGCCTGACGGTACCTCTGGCGAAGGGCGGCCCGAAGTAGCATGCTCTTCGGACGAGGTGACAGCAAACACTTGCTAGCTTGAGCATTTTACGCCATCAACCCCCCTTGTTGTCAAACAACGGAGACAGGCGAGCAGTGACACGCGCTGGCGGTACGCCTGGCGGCTGCGCCGTATCGTGGTCTAGTGCTGGACGCTCGCTTCACTCTCCGCTGCAGCGTGTCAGTCTAGACTAGCGCCCGTTATGGGGGCTCTCGATGGTGCATGTATGCATGCGGTTAGCTCCACAACATATGGGGGTCCCTGTCGGGAGCACAGGCTTGGCTTCCGGTTAATCTGGCCATCGGCGCAATCACAACCCACGAGAGACCCTGGACGTTTTTGACACGGACGGTGAAGTGCAAGCCCTTCCTCAATCCACGCGCAAAGGCTACGCACGGTGGCATTTGTTCGTTGCATGTGGCGTGGGAGATGATCCGTCCGAGGAAGCGCCAGGCAGGTCACGCCGTGCATGCTGCGGTGCTTAGGCTTATTGGGCTTGGTGATGCTGGCCCCGACAAACGAGGTGGCACCAGGCGGATGAAAGAGCCTCCAGCGCGTTCCGGCGCACATGTGCTAGAGTGGCGCGGGGAGCCGTCCGATTCGTTAGCTGCGGGCTACCCTGGACGTCACATCAAAATAGCGTATGGCGCCTGAGCGCCCACGCAGTAGGTCTGTGCCCGTACTCCAGTCCCCGCAGAGTCGAGCACTTGGTTCGCCTGACTAGTACGTTCCTTGTTCATACAAGCGCGTACAAGGGCAGGGGACGCGCCAACAGCTTCAGTAGATTTTCGAGGTTGCGTCGATCGATTGGAGCCACAGGAGACTGTTCCAGCCCACCAGAGTGGCAGTCCATGACCAGGCTGCGAATGAGGTCTACATCTGTCCGCTTGGAGACCAGTCTCGGCGACGCACAAGAGCAGTAAAGACGACACAGCGAACCGCGGATGGCAGGGGTTTTGGCCCCGCTGTTGACCGAGGGCGGGGGCTGTTGAGCGCAGTTGGCAGACTACCGGTAGCGCACTCGTAGCCGGTCAACCCCTTATTGACGCAGCGGTGGGAGGCTTGCCCCCGGAAGCCCATAAGGGCGGTTTCCAATCCATGTGCTCTCTTGTCACTGTTGCGGTTGCTCGTGAGGTTAATAGCATTACACAGAATCGCGGATGGCGAAGACGGATCATGGCTGCCGGCTACAGGATCGAAAGGTGGAAGCTTAGGCAGTACGTACCGAGCTTTCTCTAGGTTCATAGTGCAGTTGAAGTTTCTCTGCGATTTTGGATCCTTTCGCCATACCGCGTGCTTCTTTTACTTCCCCAAAGCAATACCAAGCACGCGACGATCAGATGCAAGAGTGGCATGAATTTGCACCCTGTGGGTTATCATTCTGCGTAAGGTCGCGCAAGTAATCACAGCTATAGCGCTGGACTAATGGCCCTTGACTATTACATTTACCAATCATGCATTGAAGGGTTCCCTACCTGGAGAACCGCCGATGCGCGTCCAAACAGAAACACCAAGCTTTCAACCCGTGTCTTTAACCATAAGCCAACAGATGAGCGCCACGAGACAGAGAGCTGACTTGCGATATTCGGTGCACGCGAATTGGCGAGGAGGAGAGTTGGGTTAAGCCTCTTACGGCACAGCAATGCCAACAATGACTACGGGTAGTCTCGCGCATAAGCCAGCTGATCGGTATGATAGCCTGATGCTTGAACAAGCAAAAGCCAAAGGCATCTCGTCAAAGATGGAGGTCAAGTCGTATAGCAGCAGATGTCCACGGATTGCGAAGAGGTTCGCAGCTGGGAAAGGTTCCCGAACAGCAGCTGTTGCCTTTTTGCCATGGCATCGTCGGTAGGGAGACCAGGCCCATTATCTAGTGGTGTCGATAACAACCCCAAACCTTCCGATTTCATCATTCCATACTTGATGAATCATGCTCCGGCGTTCAAAAAACTGTATGAAGTCCAGCAACGTGTAGGTTTTCCGCGCTGGCGTGGCCTGCATGGTTAACGCTGATGTCGTGTAATAGGTTTGGGAGAGTTCCAAAGCCGACCAGCATTTTCAAAACCAACGATCACGAGCTGATCACGCGAATAAAAAGGTTGCCAGGTCTTTCTTCAATATGATGCGCGAGATTGCCGAAGAGCTACACGCAGCGACGAACGCATTCTCAGTCACGAGCCTTGGCACACAACAGCCGCGGATTCTTGACATGTGCGCCGCTCCTGGAGGTTTCCTTGAGACCGCACTTGAGATGTGTCCTGAAGCTCGAGTATTGGCGTTCACTCTACCTCTTGCGGACGGGGGTCATAGAGTCCTGTTGAAGAGAGACAGCAGAGTAAAGTTCAAATTTCTTGATATCACGATGCTGGCTGAAGATATGAATATGGGTGTCATACCAGCCAATAACGAGCAGTCTGGAAAGTTCCTTCCACGGAAAATTGCGCCCCACCTTCTGTTTCGCCTCGTTCTTTGCGATGGATAAGTGCTCCGGACGCAGAAACGACCAGAGTGTCGGGAACCGCGAGAGGCTCGCCGGCTTGTATCAACACAATTGGCTCTAGGCCTTGAACACACGGAACCGGGAGGGACCATGATCATCCTCCTCCACAAGCTTGAGGAATGGGACACAATCATGCTTTTGTACACCTTTCGAAAGTTCTCTACAATCACATTGTTCAAGCCCAAGACGTTTCACGCCAAGCGCTCGTCGTTCTACATGGTGGCCTCAGACATTCGTAGCCAAAGCCCCCAAGCGACCCAGGCAGTGGCCAAGTGGAAAGAGATATGGAACGACGCAACTTTCAAGGGACCTGAGGAATATCAAGACAGCACCCATGCAGATGAGCGAGATGTGGCTGGAGTGCTTGATGATTTTGGTCCGAAACTGATTGAGCTGGGCAATGCCATTTGGCCCACCCAGGAAAAAGCACTGACAAAGGCGTTTTTACGTAATAAATAGGAGTTCCGGGCTTTTGGGGCTGTGAACGCTGCCTCGATCCGTCCTTACCGCCTTCATTTCTTTTGCTACTTGAGACCTTGCAACAGTGAGATAGAATTTCCTGGCGACGCTTGAAATACTTCTGCTTTCCCGTCGCGGACTATGCAGATGATTCTTTCAGCTAACGTCATCTGACTGGATTGCAAGACCTGCGAAACCTTTTGCCAGGTCATCTGCTCCACCGTGCTCGTTCTCCCCCCCTTCCGACTCTCGCCTCAACTGATCGATGCTCAGCATCAACTGCCTTCCAATATGATCGCTCAAAACTCGCCACCTCTGCAGTTCAGGTAATCTTCCACTATCGGCGCCTGCGATGAACCAGGGGAAAGAAACGTGTTGAATAACGGCTTGCTCTGAGAAAGGCCCTGGGTGTCAGCATTTGTGTTAAGCTGCACGTGACATGCTCGTTCACTGCGGACTTACTGGAGTATGCTCCGAGAAGCATGTCAACAATAGCCGCACCGCCGCTAGACAAGTCGCAAGGTGTAAGACTGAGAAGCATGATGACTCCAGGTATTTCAAAATGCTCAAAAGCCTTTGCCACGTTGATGGCGGCTTGAACATCAGTACTCCGTATTGGCGGCGATTGAGACTTCAGCTCGGCTCGCAGATCCCTTACCCGTATAGCCCATTGATCCCAGTATGCATCGTTGCCCAACCCAGAACAAACATTGCGAATACCGCGATTGACGAGTTCTTGCATGGATACTTGGCAAGACTTTTCGGGGCTGATGATCAGCTTCCCTTGTGAGAGGTATTCTGCCGGATAGAACCGACCGCTGCTGCGCCACTCATAAAGCAAGCGGAGCCCGGTTCCTACTTCGGATACATCTTTGAAAGCGGCAATAGCCTGCAAGTCGCGAGCGAAAACTCTTGAATCGAACTGTCGAGTATCGATCATTAAAATCTTGATTTGGGACAGTTCTTGAGGTTCCCAACTGCGGCCGTGACAGAAGAAGCCGAGCTGGAGGGCGACGAGAAGAGAGCTCGTCCAGGATACTAGGTTACATCTGTCTAGGCCGGAATGTGAGCAATTCCCCCACAAGTGAGTGTTGAGGAGCTGGGCAGCCTGCTGCGATGGCAATTGATAGAGGTCGCGTAGGTGTTCCGGCGAGATCCTAGCGGCCTCAGAGCACACCTCGGTCTGATTCGTTGTTCCGAGCGCAGAGGGGTCCGAGACACGGAAAAGATACCTTGGAATGCCTTCTAGGGATTCAGTCAGGCGTGAATTGAAAGGGGTGGGGTTAAAAGGGGTGCTGAAGCTTGGTGTATCGTGTGTGGACATGACGGGCAATTGAAATAACCCAGTCGCAGTTGAATAACGAGATAGAGGCCCGCGATGAACTGAATCGTAGACGTGGGAGGAAGACAATTATATCTTGGGCCACTGGTGCTCTCCTACCCTCATTAACAGTCTGCACCGCTCCATCTCGCCACTCGGTCGAATCAGCTTCCACCACAGCGCTATGCCCGTTGGGCTTCGACACGTGTCTTACATGTGCAATGTGGTTCCACCACAGGCTGGCTTCACCTCGCATAGTGCAGTGTGTTCGTTATCATCTGAGCCTCATCCTCCCGACACTTTTGTATTTTACAAGTTGGTTCCTATAGTACCCAGCGAATGCGAATTTTCAAAATCCAGGCCCATCGTCACGGATGTTTTAGTTCCTTTGCAAGCAATTCGGGAAGACGGGCATCGTCTGGAGCGCCTTGGAGGACAGCACCTAGGCTATTCCGATCTTCACCAACAACGGTTTGCATTTCGGTCATCGTCGCTCTTCGCCAATTCATGACTTATCTTCCCTGGGGATGAGTCGAGGCAGTTAGACGCCGTCGAAGATGTTTGGCTATCTGCTCTCATAGGGGCGATCCGTTGATGCTCTGATGTTGAATTGTTGACGGGCCAGCCTTGGGGGGGAAAGGTGTCCTGCGAGATCCGGAAAACAGGCAAGGAGAGATGAGGGCGAGGCTCCGATGGACCCTGATAAATCGGAGAAGGAGCGAAACGTCGGGCTCTATATGAAAAGTCTCGTACAGTCTGGGTCATATATTGCTCCCTCTTGGGAACACACTTCACCTTTTTGGACCTGACCCACACAGGCTGGACTCAAAATCATGCTCACTGTGTACATATGATCACGATTTAAAGTGCGAGAATGACTGCTGTTAAAGCCGATTATGGATACTTTGGAGTAGCTTTCGATCACACGGTGCTCCTCGTACTGTCGTACACCGTCCCGACCCCACATTTTGGTTTGCAGACCAACCGCTACAGCCATTACCAGAGGTTTGCGGAGGCCATCACAACAACTTTCAGCTTCTCAAACATTGAGAGTGTTTGCGAGGGAGGAGGTGACTTATGATCAAAACTGTATACAGTGCATACAGTAGGAATCGAAATCGGTTTCCTTCTTTGCGGGCAGTAATTGATCTGCGCACAGATGTTTGTGGATCCATTTGCCGATAGGGCACATGAGACGACCCCGACGATACCTTGATGACCTCCGTAGCCGAAGTCAGAAATTGCTCTCACACTGTGTTCATGGATTAGGCCCATGTTGCATAATCCAATATCCACAAACGGCGATGACACCCTTGGCTCAGCGCATTGGTAAGAGAAATGCTGGTGACCGTCTCCAAGAGAATTGGTGTGGGCGAGCTCCTTCGACGTCAAGGCCTGGACAAGGCTGCACTGTGTCGTTGACCGCTGCTGCCCAGTCAAGACGTAAAGTTTATGGTGCACGGTCAAAGGTCTTGATCGACGGCAGCTTTCTGTCGAGAACACCCCTCAGCTTTGAGCCTCCTCGAACTGCCCAACACGTTTGCGGTTGCGTGAAGCTAACCTCCATCCCCTACCCTCAATTATTATATGAACGAAGGTGGAAAACATGTAAATATCGATGCGAGCCCTAAATACCTTGGCCGGATCGTGATAAACTATATATACGGAATCCATGAAAATGGATGACAAGGAACTACAACTCGCGAAGCTTATGCAAGAGAGAGGGGCGACGATTCACGCACTGAAATTAGCCAAGAATATGGAGAAGACAGTCGATCAGTTGATAGCCACCTTAGGTCGGTCTTTGCCCCTGCTAAATTTCCCTACCCATGATTGCTCGGCCTAGATGTAGATGTCCGAGATGTTGATCCGAGCATGAGAGTGAGCTTGCCTGTCTCCCAACTGGCTGTAAGAGGCTCTTCGACCATCGTTTTGGGGCTTGATGGATCGTTTTGGAAGGCAATCGGACGAAAGGGAGGTCGAGTCCGCTTGCAAAGAGTGAACGAAGAGGTCCAGCAGCCGGTGAATGGCGCTGAGTGTAGTCATCAGATGCTGCAGAGCAGGACGACTACGCGTTCGGTCGCAAGGTTTAGCAATACATTGTCGTTTTCCTATCAATGGCGTTTCGTCTGGCCCCTCCTGCCCGGTCACCCGACCGGCCTTTCAGCGGTGCCTTCGTGGAGGCAAGTTCAGGTAGTGCAGTCGCTATTGGGGTGGAGTGGAAAGTGAGCATAGGGCATAGACAAAAAAGCCCAGTACCAGCCAATAGAGAACGGTTGCCATTTTAAGTGTGGTGAAGCCATACTAAAACGTTGCTGACGGAGGAGGAATGGTGACCCTCCACGCCATCATATTCACCCAAGACAATGGGTTTCATAGCCCAGGTAGTGATTCGGCACGTTAGACGGCATCGTAGAAGACTTGTGGCAGATTGACACCTTAATCGCGTAGCAAGCAATCAGCTAGTGCGATCACGTACATATCGCCTCTGACTCACACGAGACGGTGCCACACCTCCACCCATGGGTATCAGGAGGCATTCAAAGAAACAGAGATCTCCGACGTGGCGACAAAATCGCGCTCTGTACGATCCAAGGCGAATGTCGCTGCATAGTCCATTTGCTATGTTCTCTTTTCAAACGTGCAATAGATCCACCCGTGTCCCAGCATCTCTAGCCTGTGAACGGCGAATGCTGCTGAGTTCACCACCACGGTCTACATTTGTCCGCTCTCTTGAAAGCCGTCAAGACGTAGCTAAACATAGTAAAGGTCAGTGAGCCGGAATGATCATCCACGGATCATGGTGGGTCAAATACCATTTACAGAAGGCATGGTGATCGGGATTCCGGATTTCCTTGGTTGCATCCGCCACCAGGTCCAACATTTCTTGCGGCGGGGCCTCGCGACGAGATGCAAAGCATTTCGCCTGCAGAAATTGTCTGAGGCACCAATGAAAGCGTTTGCCGCTCTCTTGCTCAATTTTAGATTGCTTGTAGGGATTGATCGGCAAATCGATCGCTGCGCATGTAACGTCGAAGCCCTGATCTCGGAGTAAAGCCTCGATTTCCTGTTGATCAGCTTGACACTTAATGTACTGACGAAACTTCTCTGCCCAGGCTTTGAGAGCCGAATTTCCTGGAAAAGACTTCTGCTCGTCGCCGCAAGGCATAAGATCAACCATTTCGATGATCAAGCGACCACCCGTGTTGAGATTGTTATAGGCAATTTTGGGGAAGTTCTGCCAATCTACGATGCTCTCGACGAATCGCACGTGAATGATGTCGTAGGGACTGTCTTTGCGCCACACCTTTCCGTCATCTCCTGTGACAAGGGTCAAATTTTCCGGTAGTATGTCCCTGCATGACTGTAAGGATATGGATTTATTGGGCATCCAAATCGGCTTACATTGGCGGGTGCATGTCGATAATGTCGTAACCCACCACTCGACCATGCAAGTGCCTTACGCAACTTTGCACTCGGTCAACTTTGTGACTCGAAAGATGGGAGGACTAGTGACTGACTCTGCAGTTTCAATCGACCAAATTCCAGTGCGCATGCCATAATCAAGGATTGCGCAGCTGTAAGGCAAGGAATCTAGGTCAACCTTTGCTCTCTGCTCATTCTTCAGAGTGTGGTGCAGCAGATCGTATGCATCTTTCAGATAGGCCTGAAAAAAAGTTAGTGCGAATCAGAATCAAGTGAGAGAGGTGCATATACGACGTTGAGGCTTGGGTCGGTGTTATCGTCAGATAGGTAATACGGCATCCTTTCGGGGGAGAGCTCAGCATATGTCATCTTCAAATGGGCAACCTTGTTGCTTGTGTTTGGGGCTTTGAGGCAGCTCAGAACCGCCAACCAATTGTCGAGATGCGATTACGACCTTTATAGAACCTCCAACCCATGCCCGGTGGTACCAAAGCCTGATGATCACGTGATTCAACACCCTGCTCTGAGTTGCCATCATATCCCTGTTGGTATGCTCGCAAACAGGGCATCGGCTTTGCACTCACCAGCTTGCTACGAGTTGCTTATCAGTCCTAGTTGAGGTGCGCTGGCCTTTATCTTGATAGGCATGAACCTTACGAGCGTTCAAGGATGCCCATCATGGCCAGTCTTCTTCCTGGTCCGTCACTGACACCATTCGACTCAGCCCCTACACAGTAGGTGAATGTGACCTGCGGTAGTGAGTGGGGTTTTACTGTGAGAGTTCCTCTCGAAGTCGCGTGCTTGAGAAGATCCTGATGGACCAGCCGCTAGAATCCAGGGGAAAGTTCTCGTCTCAATACGTTGCTGCTTCAGGCGCTCGTCGAGGCTTAGGAATTCAGGACGTCTTGGGCATGCCGGAACATCTACTGTAGTCCCGTTTGGAAAATAATCATGTCGTACTGCGCCGTGCGCTAAGACACAAATACATTTGAGATGCCGAAGGCCGAAAGCTGGCTGGAAACACAACTCCTCTTTAAGCGGATGACCATCTCAAAAAGCCCGCCCTGAACTGCACGGTTCGAGCCATGCAAACACGTCAGCCCTGGAGTAAGAGGGCGCCCTTCCAAGACATGCCTTCTTTGCTTAGCATGCTTACGTGCGCCATAACCCTCACGAGCTCATCCCAGATCCTTGACGATGGTGCTGTGTTTACCAGCAAGACCGGACCATAGCCGCTCGAATGTTCACATAAGGTCGTTGCAGTGGGTACGAACTGAGTCTCCTGTCCGCAATGCGCAGATGGTGCGAGTGTGGGTGTCGGGTGGTGAGAACTCTCTCTTGTGATAAGCTCATGGTTCGGATGGGGTCTCCGTCAGCTCTCGCGCGGATGGAAGGACTCGAGGGAACTCGGTCTTCAACGGCAGAAGTTGAATGGACCATATGGGGTTGTTCCTGCTCGGATTTGGCCAATCTGGTTTGCAGCAACCTTAGGACGGACGTGCTCAATTAGCCTCCTGCGGAGGGCCCGTTCACCACACGCTCGCTGCTAGGCTGCAGATTCAGCGACACCGCTGGGCCTGTGGTCCGTAGAGCCGCGTGCCTCCGGTACCCCGCGGGTCGTCATGGAGCTATGGTGTACTTGTATATACTCAGTACGTTGCCGCGCAAGTTCGCATAGTGAACTGCAGGCATTGGCGACCTGTCGTATAGTCACGATAGGGGCATCGACGTTAAATGTAGAGAGCGGTTTGTCTATTTGAAATAGGAAATGGGCACGAGGCTCGCCTTGAAATAGAGGGTGCAAGCGAGTGTGGACCTCGGTGATTATATAATCAAAGGTCACGTGATGCAAGATGAGGCCACAGATGGTTGAGGCCATCAGGACATGGCCAAGTCTGTATAAGCCGATTTCCGATGTCTCAGATCCTTCAGAGCTGGCCAATCTCCAGTGCCGCCTTGATGCGACTTGGCGTGAGTCCCCCAGCCCCCTATCCACGGCGTGGTGTGACTTCGGCAGCCAGGCATGTTCTTCTCAGCTCTCGCGCTGACCACACCTAGCAAAATTCCCGCATTGGCATCTACTTAGCCGTGGGAAGTACCGCTTGGGCGGCTTGTGTTAGGCAGAAGACACCCTGCCAGGTCTTGCCGCTCGGACAGTGGGGTGGCAGTATCGACTTCTGCAGGCAGAGGCGTAGGATTCGTAAACTGCTGCCGCGCCCTTGTCGAAAACGCGCAGTTGGTAACAAATTGCCGATGGGACCCAGTCGATCGACGCAAACGTGTCCGCATTTCGGACGGCGGATGTAGCGGTACGAAGCGGTACGAGAGCTCACCGCACCGTAGCCCAGCACGCCATGCGCGCCAACATGCACACATGAGCGGGAACTCCTGAGTTGTGATTCACAAGGCTCCAAAGACGATTCGCGGGTACAGGTACCCAGGGTCTCGTATATCACGGGGGTGTACTGCGTAAGGGCGCAGCGGCATCAGGAGCATGTAATGACTCCGGGAGCTGGCCTGTCAGGTAGGCCTGTCAGGTAAGAGACAAGCGCGAAAGAGGTTGGCTGAGTGGTAGGGAAGCAACGACGCTAAAGGAACGACGCTGAAGTGGATGTATTAGGGGTGGCCGGGATGCGGCGGCATGCTGTTCCGCAACTGGAGTCGCCGGGAGCGAGTGTCCCCACGCGGGCGTACGGGGCCAACTTCACACAGTGCTATCGTTGCTCCAGCTAAGCAATGCAGACCCGCGCGCCCCTCTAGATAAACCGCTCGGTTCGTTTGAGGGCTATGTATCGTTTGGTGTTGCGGGTTGGTTCGATTCTGGTACAGTGCTCGTGACCAGCAGCCGCCTGGGAAAATCGCCATGCACAGCGTGCTCCCGTCTCTGACCCCGATCGTTAAGGGACTTGGCTGGTGGTGTCGGTCGCTGAACTTGGCCTTTGGCAGTGTTTGGTGCTCCCTTCCGAAACCTCGATGACGGGTGAGCAACCAAAGCACGTAACGTAACGCTTATCCGGCTGGCTGAGGCATTCACAAGCAAGGCAAATGTCGGTTGCGCCGGCTGTGCCAGGACTTGAAACGAGCGCCCCAGGGCCACCGTCCATAGTCACAAGATTATTCACCTGTGGTGAACGCGAACCTCGCTTACGATGTACGTGAACATCGTCGAGCTTACGGTCTAGGTTAGTATTCACACGTCCTGGTATGCATTACAGCATCTGCCGTTCGCAATCCTGCAGAACCAAGTCACGCTACAACGGCGCTATCTACTGACGTGATCACCACGGCGCTGACCTTGGCCCCTGCACATTATGGAAACGCACAACCAACCAGACGAACAGGAGCTTTCGATGACTTGTTTGGTGGCATGACAGCCCTGGCCTGGCGCTAAATGTGCCTTGCCATTGTGCTGTTGGCTGTCCAAGGGATACTCCCAGGTTGCACCGGACGCGTTGCAAGGCATCGCGTTCGCGCGACGCGTGCTCCCACCCGCGCGGCTCGGATGGCTAGTCGACAAAGCGACCTCAGCCGAACTAAGAATGCATCTTTGTGTGTTGCATAACGACGCAGAGTCCGCAGGCGCAAAGAAGCCTACCGCAGCCGTGTTCCTCAAAGAAGGCTGCGAGTGACTTGAGGCAATCGTCGTTCGGGAGCACCTCATACGGGCCGCTTAGGACCGTTACGTCAATACAAAGCCGCGTGCTGCATTGTCAGCACAACGGCGACACTACGATACCCGATCTCCACAAAGGGATTCTTCTGTGCTCCCTCACGCGCAATGTAGGCTGCTGGCATGTTAGACACACCTCAGTCCTCGGGACAAAGTGTTCGCTGCGTATTCATGCGTTTCTCTTGTGGCGACCTCTGAACTCGTGCGAAGCCCTAAGAGTCATGGACCTTCCACATTCGACTCGTACATCCGCATCGCCGTCCACAACTCCTGTCAACAGAATCATTCCCAGTCTCCCCATCAGCGACGCCAAGAAAGTACTCAAGAGGAGGAGTTTCATCGGTCCCGGACGCAGCGCTTATCCAACGTAGCAGATCAGCGTACATCATCTTGGCTTCTCGAAGAACATCGCGGTCGATGACCATGGGCTCCTCGAATGACCTGGGCTAAAATATGATTTCGACGTTTGTCAACCTTCGGTCCGCTGGACAACGGGTAAACAAGAGGCCAATGCGAGAGCGCACCGTACGAATGTCGAGTCCAAGTCCAGTCAGCCGCACGTTGCTTTCGTAGAAGGTTGGTCCTTGGACAAGCCCTTTGGCCATCGTTTCGAGATTGACGGGTGAACGAAGACAGACACCCCAGCTGGGTAAGTCGTGAGCGGCCCAGAAGTCTCGAATAATCGGATTCACGCATTCCGCCTCCAAATATTGCGGCTCCCCCTTGCGATAATGTTTTGTACACAACCCGCTGTGGCCAGTTTGTCGTTGCTTCTCTTCCCGCATAGACAGTTTCCAGCATAGACAGAATGTTTTGAACTACCTGGTGCTGGCTTGTATCTGCTGGTGCGGGCCAAGCGACGGGGCGTAATCGTATCCAGTCGACATATGGACGGCGTATCATAGGTGGGTTTACGTCAAAGACCGAGATCCACGAATGGTCGCATGCGATGTTTGGGGTGACGCCTTTGCCTTACAAACATAATAAGTTATTGGCGTTTGGACGGCCCTTCCAGCCTCTCACCCAGATGCTGCAGCAAAGATGGCTGTCGGTGTCTGACCTGGCTGTCGGTGATTGCTCTCCGCTTAGACTTCTTCTATTGTATGGCGGTAGTGAGCCTCGGTACGCATCATCAAGGAGGAGAGTGCTACCGCATGATGAGGGTGTGCCTGGAACGAGAGGACTGCAATTGTCTTTCATAGGCGGGCATGCAGCAAAGATGGTCATGGGGTTTGTGCTCTTTACCGCCAGCGCCATGGTAAAGCCTGCCCACGTCTCGCATGCGCTCGTACCGTGTCCTCGAAATTACACCAGTGCTTGATTGATCTGCCAGAGCATTGGGCACCCATGCAGGTGATAAGTCAAACCCCCCACTTCCTGGCACCCCCCTGTTTCTGGCACCCACAAAAACGATGGGATCACAACCCAACCTCCTCATTACTATTAACTATTGATCCTCAACCACACCCACTACAATACAACTGCCAGCCTCACTAGGGCATTCAGAGTCGCTGGATTCAGCCGTAATAACCTCCTTTTCACCCGCTTCGATTTGAGCCCGATGGATATCCCTGATGTTCGCAAACTTCGTGTTGGGATCGATCTGAACAGTCTTCCTCTTCCTAACTGCAGCGTTGGTAACTTGAGGCCTCAGGTGAGCCAGCTGCTGCTGGGCAGCTGCCAGTTGCCAGGCCTGCTCTGTGAAGCCTTTTTCACCTTCCTGAACAGCAGCCGTTGAGTGCTGGTATCATTGTCGAGTTGGGTGTAAGTGCAGTTGACCGCTGAGCTCTGCCAGCTTCCTGGGTGTCGACCAGACCACTGCAGAGGAAGCAGAATCCCATGGCTCAACAGGGTAGTTTGTTGACCATTATGGCATCGCTTTTGCCCCGACTGGTTGGTTTGGGTGTGGTGGGCTTAGCAGAAGGCTCAGGTAATACCATAGGGTTCATCAGGGGCTTAACCATCGCTACAGGGTGTAGACCAGTCCACTTCCAACCACTTCTGATGTTCGAGACTGATAGACCAGCAAGTCGAGCCTTCTGGTAACAGTCCAGGAAGTTCCTTTTACCTATAATGGTAGAGTCGTTCCATTGAGACAAGTAACCGAGCTCCTTCCGATAGGCTGACTTAACAGGGCTGAAGACAGACTGGTCAAGTGGCTGGAGGACATGAGAGGAGGTGGTAAGAACAGTAAATGGATATTGTTAATATAGCAATTCCACATGAAGTCTGTCGTCGTATGACTCCCATGCCCATCCACAATCAACAGTCGAGCCTCGCCCTCAGCCTCGGGCATAGTCTGTGGGATAAACACCTTCTCTAACCATTCAATGGCAGTTAAGTCTGTAGTCCAGCCATTATCTGTTGCTGTAAACTCCCACCCATCGTATGGAACCAGATGTAATGGAAACCACTGTTGTTGGACCGTCTTCCCTTGAAAATGATAAGAGGACGAAGTGCCCTACCCAAGGCTGAGATACACTCAATGATAGAGACCCATGCCCTCGACCCAGGTTGTTTCTTGCGAACAGACGTCGTCTCAGCCATGCCCAGCACTAACCCATTAGCTCCCTGACCCTCGAGGATGCCAGTCTCATCCATATTATATCTGTTGGCTGGTTTGATGTCCTTGATCTCAGGGATAGCAAGGAACTTAAACCAGTTCCTAATGACCTCAGTAGATGCCCCATTAACGCGTCTAGAATCGATGGAACGACTTCTCTGAACCTTAATGATAGGGTTCCTTCTCACGAAGGCATAGATCCAGCCTTTTCCTAATGGTTTGGTATCCCCAGCAGCAGCCAGAACTCGCTCTGCGAATTCCTTCACCTGTTGGTGCGTTGGTGCGAGGCCCAGCGAAGCCTGAATGCGAACCCATTGTGCCAGCTTACTCTCCTGGTCAGGAGACAGCCTCTGCCAGTCAGCAAAAGCCACTTTCCTAGTCTGACCACCTTGGAGACGTAGTTGGAGGGTTGATCGTGGTATCCCATACTCCAATGAGGCTCTCTTTTGACTCTTGCCGTTTGAGATGTCCTCGAGAGCCTGACGAAGCTGATCTTCGGTATATTGAGGCATTAGATATAGAAGAAGGTATGTGCAAAAAATGAGCCCATTTGGACTCGAATTGAAAATGTTGTGATAAAAGGAGGTTGGGGGTGGGCATTGCGTTGTGGTGGATTTTCGCGTTTTTGTGGGTGCCAGAAACAGGGGGGTGCCGGGAAGTGGGGGGTTTGACTTACCACATGGAGGATGATGCATGCCAACCTGGCCACTCAACCGTAGTGATCACGTCCGAACACGAACACAGGGCGCCGAATCAATCAGTAGGAGATCGAGCTGAGGACTCGAGACTTGGCCGAGACACGCAAACCAGATAGATACCCATTCCCATCTTCCATCCACTAGGATCTTATGCCAAACTGCCTTTATCTAAGGCAAACACCCCCGGAAGGCGGGTGACCGACGGAATATACTTCCTACACGCTAATTCCTTTCTATCGACTGAAGCACACAGCCGTCTTTCATGGATTCTCAAAGTGCTTGGCTATCAGAGACATCGTCGCCGGTGGTGCAAGCCCCAGTCATCTTTTCTCAGGCTGCGGAAGTCGGCGGAGAATGTAGTGACTGTGAAGAACGTCCTGTGGTTTTCAAGTGCCCACGGTGTCCCCTCCCGCTTTGTGAGATTTGTTGGCATGAAAAACCAACCCACAAGAGAGGAGCCGTAGGTCATCAACAACTTCTTCTGGACGGGTCTCCTGTGGAAGATCAACCCAACACCCTGTAAGACCCCGTGTTCGGTGGCTACATTACGCGCGCTGACCTTTGATGTTCTTCTGTGGAGACGGTTGCTGGAACAGGCTCTCAAGTCCGACTGGTCTCAAGAGTGTCGGGAAGAACAGCACCGCGCCGACTACACCACAGTCTGGTTCGCAATCACCCAATCTGATCAGGAGTCGCTGAGCATCGAATCGTTTGCGCGATTCCGAGACCTCATACATCAACATCGCCAAAGCCATCCAACCGTGGAACATGTTTACCCTCGTCTGGTATCCTTCATGGGCGGTAGTGGAGTCGGAAAGAGCACCCTGATTCATGCCATTGTTAGGCAGCTTTGGGTGCCTACTGCGGAAGGCGGATTTGAAACAAGCTGTCAAGTTGCTGCTCCAGTCATTGGCGACGACAGTGCAATTCCAACGTCTTCCGACGTTCGCCTTTACGGCGATCCAATCGGTAGCAGAGACGGGCCTGAGAATCCGATACTCTTCGCAGACTGCGAAGGCTTCGATGGCTTGAGTCGATCTGCTGCAGCCAATGTACTCGAGCAAGATAATAAGGCCAATAGGCAGGCCAACCATCAGTCTGAGGGGTCTGCAGAGGGCTCGTCTTCACGTTTCATAAACAGAACATGGGATAGCATCCGTCGCAAGCTTCAGTGGTCCGGCGATGTCAAAGGCCGTCGGTATTCTGCTCTGGAGCAACTGTTTCCCCGGCTCCTGTACAACGTTTCTGATGTACTGGTGTACGTCATTTCTGAAGCGGAGAAGAAGCAATTGGGAGGGGTTCTCCAACGTCTCGCCGACTGGTCACAAAAGTCCGCAACAGCGGCGATCAATAGGACGTCACTCCCATCACTCATCGTTGTCTTGAACCGGTCCGATCCGAATTCGTCGGATTGGGAACCTGACGAGACAACCAATCGACTGTTCCATGATCATCTTGAAGTCCTACAATCAGTTCTTGGGCATTGCTTTTCCTCAGTCAACTTCATACGTATCCCTCATCGAAAAGACCTAGCACGGTTGGCGTCTCAGACCAAACTCCTTCGCGACATGATAAACCACGCGTCTATGAAAGCTTATAAAGCTAAACTTGCATCCAACGCCTTGCTTGAGGCGGAGCATCAAAATCTTTTCTGTCGCATGGCTTTTGAACATTTTTCACAATATCGAGACAAGCCTTTCGATTTCATAGAGACGTTCTTCTCGATTACACCACTGCCGACAAATTTGGCGAACAGCTTGGCCAACATGCTCCTTGCCGCCACCAACTCACTCGTCACCAAAGAACGGCCCTTGCACTCCGAAGCTTTAGCTGAGATCCTACTTGAGACTGTGACTCCCGTGATCTGTTCAGCCATCGCCATAGATGTACATCGAACTTACAATCTACTTCCTGGCTCACTTTCTGGCCTTATACAGGGGGAGATATCCCACCCTGACGAATCCGACCTAAACTTTCGGGAGTTTTCCTACGAGAGACAAATCGAGGAAGCATGTCAAACGTTCCTCGACATGACATGCAGCTGTACATACAGCAGAGCCGGGAACAGTTGCGTCAACAAAGCTGTAGCCCATGCACAAGACCGTCCCCATCAAGATTCTTGGGGTAACGACATAGGGCGTGGGAGCGCTGGCTCCTATGAAGCAGACGACTTCCACAATCATTTCAGTTCTTCATGGCATGCTGGGTTTCTCAGAGGTATAGACGACCTCGACGAGAAAAGAGATTCATTGTTGTCAAAGGGCAAGACAGACTTTGTAATGCCCATGCTGTGGGCAATTCACAACGATTCGATTCTGCGGATGCACAGAACGGTCGACAATTTGAAATTCCCCGACTTGTTGGGATGTTTCTGGTGTTTGAAACATGTGCCGACTGAACGACTACCATGCGGCCACTGGATCTGCGAATCTTGCTTGTATCAGATGTCTGAGACATGCTTGTATGATGACCGACTTTACGTCATTCGACGTTGCAACCGTCACGCAGGAGGTCTGGTATTCGACTCAGCATTTGAGTACCTCCGTCTCCCATCGACGCTTGGGCGAAGACTTTTATCCTTAGACGACGGTGGCGTAAGGGGCATCGTTCAACCAGTCATTCTCAAAGAGATACAGGAAGAACTCGGCCGTGAGTTCCCTGTTCTGGACTGCTTTGACCTGATCGGAGGTACCGGCTCTGGTGGTATCATCTCCTTAGGGCTGGCATCGTCCAATTGGCGTATCACTGACGCCGCGGAAAAGTTTCGACAACTTGCAGCCATTGCATTTTCCGAAAGGAATGATTGGAGCCCGTTCTTTTGGAGATCCAAGCCAACTTATCGGTCCGAAAACTTGGCAAAGGGTGTCAAACTTGCATTTGGGCCTGATGGAGAATCGCAAATGACTGAATCCATGGTGAGTATCCCTCCATCATCCTTCCATAGCATGTGCTTCTTGACTGATGGTTGAGAACTTGAAGTCTAAACGAAAAGCCTCTGGACATAACCCAGCCCGGATGTTCGTGACAGTTTCGGTGGCTGCCCAGGCTGGCGAAGTGGTTGCTAACTACCACAGACCGCGAGACGGTGGTAGGTCTTCGTTATTCCATCCGGAAAACATGATGATCATAATGACATATCTTTCAAAGGCTCGGAAAAAACACACTTCGGACCTGTGGCCCATGCCCATTCATGTGACCTCAGCATTGAAGCCGCGGCTCAAGCAACTTTCTCTTTGCCAGGCTTATTTGATCCAATTCGAAGCGGAAAAGGCAAAGAATATAGCGGCGGCGGTCCTGAGTATTCCAATCCCGCCAGAGAAACTGTCATTGAAGCCCAGAGAATATGGCCAAAAGCATCAAATCTGCATCCCGACGTCCTAGTTTCCATCGGCACCGGCTGCTTAGGGCGGCAACCCACATCTTCTGAATCATCAGAGCCACGTCCCCAGCACGGTGTCAATAACGCCGATATGACTTGGAACGAACTTTTCGGTAAACTCGCAGAAGACAACTACAATCGCTACATACGGCTTTGCCCAGAATTTCCATATTTCCTTCCGGAAATTGACCAAATACGCGTGTTGACGGGAGCAAACCGACATATGGAGACTGTCACCGCCAACTTCCTCACAAACGATCGAAAACAGATAATTACCAATGGTAGCAATGGTAGCCAAATAGGTCTTGTTGTTCGTCGCCTGGTATCGACGACATTCTATTTTCAACGGACAAAGGCAGTTTCAGAGGGTAACGGTGATATCATCATTTCAGGTGTGTCAAAATGGCCTTGCTATAAGACAACTCAAGCGGTTCAGGCGTCTCTAGATAGCAGAACCTTGACTAACAGACAATAGGCGTCATACGATGCCGGTACAAGAACACTTCGGACATTGTCAAGGCGTTTGGGAAGAAGATCAGAGGGTACATGAACGCTTGCTTCATCATTGAGCCTTCGCATGCCGTGCTTTGGAGCTTCAACATGGAGGCTCTTGACCGAATGAATGGCGAAGGACGTTTCCACGCTGACATTGATTTCCGCCTTCCAGCTTCGTCGGCGGTAGTGGATATCAGGTTTGCTGCCAAGGGCTTCTTTGCGGAGAGCATCAGCGGATGTCCTCTTCCAGTAGATGACCTGCAAAAAAGCCTCTAGTCTCATGTCATGAACGATGCATGGAAGACAAAATTGAGTATTGAGCATGCCACTTTTCGGATGACTTTCGAATGACTTTCGGATGAGGTAGGAGGCAAGTGTGTCTCGTACGCTTGCCTCTATGTAGAAAGAAGCCACATGCAAATGACTATTACAAAGCTGGGATTGCGTTCGTACGGACAGCTTTTGCGTAAAACCCCTAGCCGCCTGCCTTTACAGTGTCCTATCTCTCTTCACGCTGGATTGGCCCTTTCTCTCACTGCCACTAAAACCCAAAATCCCACTCATCCCCTTCCTTCTTACCGACACATCAAGGGCTTGCCGTGCAAGACATGTCACTTGACTTAATTCGCGGCATCATGCTTCGCTTCTTGGCTGCCTATCCAAATGTTGAGAGTGTGCCAATGGACTGTGAAGGATTTCTCGTCGACAACTGGAGAAAAAGATATGTAACTCAACTATGTTCAGAACTGAGTGCATTAGTGCGAAGCTAGCCTACTATGTCGCCGTCGGGGCGATATCGTTTGGGGAGGCGGCATGGCTTCAACGAAGAGATTGCTGACTTGACGCCAGATCAACTCATCATCAATATTTTCGTGTCGGCAAGGGCTGATCGCAGGAGAGTCTTGGCTCCATTGAGATTGAAGACTTAGCTACGTAGTGATCTTGGCGTTCAGGCTGACGATTCTCCAAAAAAATGCTTTTCCGCTGCTGGGTTAGAGAAATCGAGCCGGTCGAGGTCGGGCTGCCCTTGGGGAGTTGGCGGTAGTGTAGACAGCTAGTCAAGAATGATGCCGTTCTCTGGCGTTGATAGGATTACTCCTGATTGCCGTGTTCTTCGTTGTTATCGCTGTATGTGGTAGTTGGCATTGTCGACGATCGTTGCTTGTCGTGGAGAGTAGAGAGGTTGTTGTGATGGTTGGCATGGAATGGGCGCAGGATTGGCCCGGTGACCAGAGTTTAGCGTATCTGGTGTGGCTGATGTGGCTGGTGCTGCTGCGCCGACATGCTGGCGTTTACTGATGTAGCCAGCTAGGTGGCGTTCAGCCAGTGCCTCGACTTCGTTGCGCCTCACAAAGCACCCGCCCTTGATGGCAGCACATATAACCAATCCCCAGATGCGAGTAACATAGTTAGGACGTCGTTCGAACAATCCGATTCTCCATCTTCATTTCTATGCAGGCCCACACCACCAGTACCTGCGAATGAAATAGAGCACATCGCAGAGGCAGCACACACACAAACACACTCAATGGCCAAACTGACACATCCTCGCCAGCACAGCTTGCCCACCTTCAGTCCCGCCGTCTCGCAAACAATCAACTAGACCCACGACCTCCTCTCCGACGGCTTCCTCTGGTCCTCCTCCTTCATCCATGCCTCCAACAACCACACCTACCTCGTTCTCTCCCACCCCTCTCCAGCATCGCAATCTATCGCGCCTCCGACCTCGACATCACCGGCCCCGCCCATCACGAGCAATACCAAGTCATTACCAGCCCCGTCCCCCCCCCCCCTTTCTCCCCATCCGGCGTGTTCAACGCATCCTTCCCCGACAATGGCTTCGGCTCAAACAGCACCACCAACGGCATCTCCGAGCTGCGCACCTGGAGCGCCAGTCCCGAGGACGGGGTGGATTTCGACCTCACCTTCTCCACCTCCGCGACTATCCTCCTAAACGGCGGCGTTGGCTTCTTCGAGTCCTGCAACAGCACCGTCTACGAGAGGAGCAGACCCGCAGGCGTCGCGCGCGGCTGGATCGCCGTCGACCCGGAGCGTTCGCTGACCTGGTACGACCGGCAGTGGGGCGGCGCACCCCCAGGTTGGCAGTGGTTCGAGATCCATCTCGAGAACTCCGACCCGAAGGACTATGACGTGCCCATGTCCGTAAGGGTGTGAGGGGAAGCGGGCGCCGCGTCTGGGCTTGCGACGACCAGAGACAAGGCCAGCGTTCAGAAGGTTGTGCCGCTGACGGCGATGGTGCCGTCAAATCGGATATACACCTCGCCGCGTCAGGGGCCGTGGACCCCCTGGACTGCACGCTTGACCTGGGAGATGCGGCGACGCTGTTTATCTCTAGCGTAAGTTCGGGGCATGAGATGGTCGCTGAGGGTGGGCATTTGCCGACGTTTGAGGGACGTGTTACTGTCTGGCGTGTATCGGGGAACCGGACCACAGAGAGACATGCCTCATTGAGTCGGAGATTGTCTTTTCCGCCTCCTTTTGAACAATGAAGCCATGGTTCTGTAACCGGGTAGCTAGCCAAGTCAATCTCACCTGTAGATCAGGCCTCGACTGACGCCAAACCGGGTTCTGTATTGTTCTCTCATTCTGAGCTCTAAAGTGAAACTTGCAGAGTAGTACCGTGATCGTCGTTAAATGTGCAGGCCGTGTCACATCACCATGACCCTATTAGGGATTCTTAGGCACGGGGCCGCCTTCACCTCGGACGCTTGCAATCTGGACTGGTGCACCGCTGTGCGTCAATCAACGAACCAGTTTGAAGAAGCTGATGCAAAGAACAACAGTCAATTAATAAGCCTGGATGAGCTTAAATTTCAGGGGGAAAACATCATTCCGAACTCAAAGGTTTAAGATGGGTTACTGTGAAGATTGTGGTTCTATGAATTTCATTTGTAGAGTAGCAACAGTGCCGTGCACTGCAATGGACGGAGAGAATCTATTCGAATATCTTTCGTTTGTGGTAAGAATTCCTCCTTCAGGAGATCAGACTTCCTTTAATTTGGGAATTAGCCTGGTATTCCTGGTTTTCCACTCAAGTCGGACGAAAGGCAGAGGAGTCGACGTCATGAGCAGCATACTTCCTAATATGGAAATTGGATCGCAGGCATTGCCCGTTTCCTTGATGGGCAATAACATTGCGATTAGTGCTTCATATTAGTACCGCACAAACTCCAGCAGTTACCCTTTCAATTGAAAGTTCGATACATGACAGCCGAAAGTTGATTTTTATCCGCCTAAGCCACTGTTCTTATCAAGATGGCTTCCTTAGAAATAAAAGCATCACTAGAATCAAAGGATATCCTTGCCTCTTCGGCTCAGTCAACAGCTGTCAATGCACACGATCATGAGAAAACGCACAGCCATCATCAAGCAACTGCTCATCAAGACCACGAGATAGAAATTCGCGAAGCACTCCGTCGACACAAGCAAGCCGCGTCCTGGGCCGCCTGGTTCGTTATACCCAACGCTGTCATTGGCTACGATGCCACCACTCTGGGTAACTTGGTCGGCATACCCCAATTCCGGAGGGATTTTGGCTATGAAAGCCCTCCCGGATCCGGCAGCTTTACCCTGTCTGCGTCTTGGACAGCCGCATTCCCATATGCACACATCATTGGGTTTTGCTTGGGACCCCTTTGGGCCGGATGGTGCGCATCTTCCCTAAGTCTAGGTATGCAAAGTGGAGGCTGACGGGCACACACGCAGCTTCGCTGGTCTAGCGAAGTAACGTCGGCAGGTACTAGCGCTTGGCATAGCATGTAGTTGTGGCTGACCACGGGAGTATAACTCCGATCCAGTCCCGAATACTGTCGCTTGCGCTTACGACCCTGTTGATCCTCGGCATACAACTGCACTCGGATCTCCTCTAGAACGTCGTCGTGGGTCTCTAGCTTGTACCCTTGCTGCACATATTTGACAAGTTCTTCCAAATTATGATCTCGGAGTTTGAGGTGCACGTTCCCATGGGCTCAATCTTGCTAGCAACGCTTTCCTTTGTCGCATGGGGCTCCTGGACATCTCATGAGCTAGTAGACCCGGTTCCATGGGTGAAGATCGCCCGTTTTCTCCTGCTCCACATCGATACGGCTGCGCCTCTCTGCAAGGCCAACGGCGGTAGCACCCCGTCCAGCGGGCCGGCCCGTGGGGGCACTCTATACGTAGTCCATCTAAACGAAGAGTTTCAGTCTCTTGCCAGCGCGGAGTAGCTGGCTCCACCCTTCTAGTTGTCGCTCTACGACTAAACAGTCAATCTGCAGCTTTGAGATGTGCTTTGTGACTTTACTTCTGAACGATCGGTGGGAACCGACATGACCCTGGTCGTGGCACTCGTCTCGTAGTTCTTTTTCTTCGAATTCACGATCTCGGCGATCTTAGCCGAGAGTACTCCCCTCCAGAAAGCGCTTGAGGTTACAACAAGGTTTTGCTCGGTTTGTTCTACGGCCTTTCTATTGATCAGGATCAATTTCTATTGCAAAGCGCAAAGCATCCATCGAGAGGGTTGTTTGTCGTATGACTGGCCCGGAGCCCACTCTCGGTATTTCAGGAGTGGCAACGCCCCTGGAATGGGGCAAAGCTGCCGGAGTGGGGAATGAGTGCCATGATCCAGCTCACTGTTGGAATCAGAGATGTCTGAGTTTTGATCATCATCTTCGTCGTTGCTGGTGATCTCGTACACCCAATTGTCTGCAGCCATCATCGCAGCGACTGATCGAAAGATCATATGAAACGTGGCAACCGTCTAGCGGCGGCAAATACGCACTCTAGTTGACAAGATGACACAGTGGCATGAATCTATCTAGCTAGGGAGATGGGTCTACGCTGCCATGGAAGATTCTGGGATCGATCCCAGCCCAGTTCATGTGGGTCTTTAAATTTAGGCTACTCTTCCCGTTGGCAAGGAATGACGTTGACATCGCAACCCCGCGCTACAATACCTACACTACCCCGCTCGAGCCTTTCTTGTGGTCGAGGTTTCAACACATTTGTCGAGGGACTTTCCCTGTTGACCGCAAGCGATTTCTCCACTTTCATCTATTATCATGGAGGCGGAAGAAAAAGCGTATCGTGATCGCCTTGCCGATATCCGAGCAAGCCTAACTGGAGGGGTTGACGGAGGATTCAGGCTGATAGAGGTATGTTGATACTAAGATCCCATCTACGAGGATGAACTAAAGGCGTTATTGCTAGGACCTCTTGGACAAGCTTGAACAAACGGAAAATTTGCTGAAACAGACACGATTCGACCTAGAGAATGAGTGCGACGCAAGAAGACGTCTGCAGGAGGAGGCACAACAGCACAGAGATTGGAGAGAGCGTCAGTCACGATCGCCTTTTGTCGTTGCATTGATAGACGGGGATGCAGATGAATACGTTGTAAGCAATGACACGCTATGGATTCTATTAAACCAGACTGATCTTTGCAACGGTTTCAGTTTCGTGACGACTTCATCAAGAAAGGAGAGGATGGTGGCAATATTGCTGCTGATGCGCTGCTTGCTGCGTTGCAAAGTTACATCAATCAACTGCATGGCGGCTGGATCCACATGGAAATCGTAGTGAGAGCGTTTGCGAACGTGAGCGGGCTTGAGATGGCCCTCAAACGTGACAGCAGACTGCAAAACTGCAGTCAGCTGAGAGAATTTGTCATTGGATTCAACAATCGGGGGAGGTTCTTCGACTTTGTGGACGTTGGGCCGGAAAGAGAACGAGCCGATGCTAAGATTCGCGGTGAGATTCATCTATTTCCTTTTTCAGATTGGCCCGTTAGTGTCTGCTGCAGTATTGATACGTTCAATCCTTGAAGATTTCACGGTCTAACAGTGGTGTATCGTAACAGAGAACATCCAGTTTTTCCTGGGTAGTTCCCGATGTCAGCATATCGTCGTCGCGTGCGGCTACGATACTGGCTAAGCCCCCTTTCTAGGGCAGCTTGTTGGAGACAAGGAGATCGCTAATCGCATAACATTATTGGAGGGACCACCGTTTCCACTGGCGATCCGAAAGTTAGGTTTGAAGACGGCACGATTCAGTTCTGTGTTCCAAGAGAAACCCCATTTGGCCCATGGACGGGGCAGTATTGTTGGCGATGTGAACACCATCAGCGCTGTCAGGCCACCGTCTGGTACTGAAAGGGGTTCAGTAGCCCCAGTAAAAACATCGTTTTCGGGCTGGCGTAACGGGAAAGCACAATTGTGGAGGCTCGCGCCAGTCGTGAGGAACGAAGCTGGGCGTCGGGTTGATAAGGCGCTTCTGGTTGACGATTCAACTGTTGAGAGAATCCAGGGAAAGAACCTGTGTTTCTTTCTGTTTCTCCGTGGGGAGTGCAAGATGAATGGGTGCCGCCGGAACCACGAACATCAAGAGCTCACGGATAACGAGTTTGATGCCTTATGGTATGTAGCACGGAAGGGGCGGTGCAAGAAAAGCCAGAAGGCGGATGCAGACGGTGTCGATTGTTCAGACGAAAGGTGTGTTTATGGCCATGGGAACGCGGCTATCCTCAATGGATGTGAGTGAGAGGTCAGGAGATAGATATCGATTTTCCCACAGGAGCGTAATGGGTAAGTAGGCCAGATGAGTTACAGTAGACGGCATGTGTGGGTCAGTTATTGGGGATCGTGAGATCTAAAGAACTGGGGCGTGAATGTATCGGGGGAAGCAGAATATGTAGTTAGTTGTAGCGAGCGCACTGTGATTAACCATGACCAAATTGCAAAAGCGGTCCACTTCTTTGACTACTAGATAAGACTCTCAAGTACTTTTCCTACTCAAGCAAGTGGATAATGACATAGTGCATAGTTCAGCTATTTCTGGCTTATGCTAGTACCTACAAGTCTCTCTAAGTACTGCTGGCTCGTGCACCCAAACTTCAAAGAGTGTAGAGAGGACATCGTTTTTGCACTTAGCTGTACACAGTATGAATGTTATCTTATCATTTAGAATACATTCGACAGCCCCCATAGGCTGGACCCGCTTTTAGTCCTTTTTGGCTGCTGTTTCAGGACATCCAGTTGTGTATCTCGGGAAATGCAGACTCTGTGCTCCTTCATGAAAGAACACAGTGACCTAAAAGGCAGACCCACGGTGAGGGCCTGCTTATGCTGCTTCTTTCCATGGTGCAAATTTTGGCTTCTGATTACCATCAAGATACCCGT